GTATTATCTATTAAACTACATAGGACAAAAAAAATCTTTTGAGGTAAGCACTGTGGCACAGTGGGTTAAATGGGCTGCAGTGCTGGCATCCCATATATGCACAGGTTTGTGACCTGGCTGATCCACTTACACTTCAGCTCCCTGCTGATGTGCCTGGGAAAGCACTGGAAGATGGACCAAGTGTCTGGGCCCCTGCCACCTACATGGGAGACCAGAAAAAGCTCCTGGTTTCTGACTTTGGCCTTGCCCAGCCCTGGCTGTTGCAGCCATGTGGGCAGTGAACCAGCAAATGAAACATTTCTCTCCCTCTCTCTCTCTCCGTAACTGTGCCTTGCAAATAAATAAATATTTAAAAACAAATCCTTTGACAAGATTATTTTGACCTTTAATTATTATCTTGAATAAGTATTTGGTATCTGCATATAAATAAGAAGTAATGATGACATTTTAAATATAAAGTGTTAGCTTTCACTATATTCAGGTCCTCATTTGGTATCCTGTATGTTTGTTTTGGGATCTGCAGGATAACAAATTCATCTGGGAAACTAAGTAAGAAGATTCTGAAGGCTGGCGCCGAGGCTCACTAGGCTAATCCTCCGCCTTGCGGCGCCAGCAAACCGGGTTCTAGTCCCATTTGGGGCGCCGGATTCTGTCCCGGTTGCCCCTCTTCAGGGCCAGCTCTCTGCTGTGGCCAGGGAGTGCAGTGGAGGATGGCCCAAGTACTTGGGCCCTGCACCCCATGGGAGACCAGGAGAAGCACCTGGCTCCTGCCATCGGATCAGCGTGGTGCGCCGGTTGCGGCGGCCATTGGAGGGTGAACCAATGGCAAAGGAAGACCTTTCTCTCTGTATCTCTCTCAGTGTCCACTCTGCCTGTCAAAAAATAAAAAAAAATAAAAATAAAAATAAAAAAAGGAAGATTCTGAAGTATCTGTTAAAGATAACATACTGAGGCAAATATGTAGTAGTACCAACCCTAAGTGAGCTATCAGAAATGGAGGGGGAGGTGGCTGGCGCTGTGGCTTACTTGGTTAATCCTCCGTCTGTGGCACCAGCATCCCATATGGGCGCTGGGTTCTAGTCTTGGTTGCTCCTCTTCCTGTCCAGCTCTCTTCTGTGGCCCAGGAAGACAGTGGAGGATGGCCTAAGTGCTTGGGCACCTGCACCCGCATGGGAGACCAGGAGGAAGCACCTGGCTTCCAGCTTCGGATCGGCGCGGTGTGCCGGCCGTAGTGGCCATTTGGGGGTGAACCAACGGAAAGAAGACCTTTCTCTCTGTCTTTCTCTCTCTCTCTGTCTAACTCTGCCTGTCAAATAAAAAAAATTAAAAAAAAAAAATGGAGGGGGAGAAGTGAGCCAACTGTTAAGGCTGGATACTAGTTCATTTGGTGCATTGTGTTTTTTACTGATGCCAAACAGCAGTGCTCCAGGCTGTGTAAGCTCATCAATGATAGACATGGAGGAAGCCAAGGACAGACATGACAATACATCAATTATGTTACTGATTCAATTACTGCACCATCTAGGAAAATATTAAAAACTAGAAAAGTATAAGAAGGAAAACTGGAAACATATTAAAAAAAGGAAAATACTTATTAAATCCATAGAGACAAGTAAGAATATTTACATTTAGAAGCAGTAGAAAGAAACAGAAAGGATCATTTTAACAGACTGTTACTTAACATGTAAAACCTTCTATTTATAAAAACATATTATGATAAAAAGGCAAGTAGTGAACTAGCCAAATTAGCTAATATAGCAGGTGAATGACTAATATGTATATAAGCATGGTAATGCACATGGAGAAAAAGTGGTAACATTTAATTTTATATATGTGTTTTTTTTTTAATTTGGTAAGTTGCTTACACAATATATAAGATAAATGCTATACTAAATAGATAACAGATCAAAGGAAATTCCGAACAACAAAGAATAAAAAGGACAACGTGCTACCAAATGCATGAAAAGAATGTTCAACCATAAACAAATTAAGGCATATATTAAAACAATAAGGTAACATCTATAATATATTACTAAATTATAACAAATGAGAATGTAGAAAAGCTGTTACTTTCATATGCTGGTAATTTGCACATCAACAGAGATTAAAAATTAGCAGGATGCTTTTGGAAAGTAATTAGCACTGTGTATGAAAGCAGTAAAGTGTTGGCATTATTTGATCCATTAACGTCACTCATTGAACTCTATACTGAGGAAGTAATTGTGAATAAAGAAAAACCTATAATAATAAAGATGTGTGAGTACTTAGTTATGTGAACAACTTTTACGGAAAAGCTTTATAACTGCCTAGTCATAACTAGAAAAATTTAAAAAAAATTTTAAAAGGTATTTATTTATTTGAGAAATAGAGATAAACAGGGACAGAAAGAGCTCCCATTTGATGGTTCACTCCAAACTCCCAAAATGGTTGGGCTGGGCTAGGCTGATGCAGGAAACTGAGAACTCAAACCAAGTTTTCCACATGGGTGGCAGGAACCAATCACTTAAACTATCATTACTGATTCCCAGGGCTCATATTTAGTAGATAGAGGGAGTCAAGTGCCAGAGATGATATCAAATCCAGGAACTTATTATTTAGAATTTTAATGGTAGTTACTATTTTATGAAATCATAACAATAGATTTGTAATTTGTATATACTTAGTGTTTTCTAAATTAAAAATATTATTCTATTGTATAGGGCTTTTTTCGAGATTTATTTATTTGTTTGAACAGAGTTCAATAAAATAAAGAGAGAGGGAGAGACAGAAAGATCTTCCATCGTTGTTTTGACTCACCAAATGGCTGCAATGGTTGGGGAGGGGCCAGGCCAAAGCAAGGAGCCAGGAACTTCCTCCAGGTCTCCCCATTGGGTGCAGGGACCCAAGTTGGGTGGTCTTCTGCTGCTTTCCCAGGTACATTAGCAGGGAGCTGGATTGGAAGCGGAGCAGTTGTGACTTGAACTGGCACCCATATGGGATGCCAGCATAGCAGGTTGTGGCTTAACCCAATATGCTGCAATGCTGGCCCATATTGCATAGTTTTATAAAAGCTGCTTTTGCAAATTTGACTGTAAGTTCCAAGAGGACAGGGGACACTCAAAGATTATGAAAATTTAGTACATGCTCAATTATATATAGGTAATTTTGTAAAAAAAAAAAAAAATCAGGCCAGCGCTGTGGTATAAAGCCCTATCCTGCAGTGCTGGCATCCCATATGGGCACTGGTTCAAGTCCCAGCTGCTCCGCTTCTGATCCAGCTCTCTGCTACGGCCTGGGAAAGCAGTGGAGGACAGCCCAAGTCCTTGTGCCCCTGCTGCACCTGTGTGAGAGACCTGGAGGAAGCTCCTGGCTCCTGGCTTTGGACCAGCTCAGCTCTGGCCATTGTAGACATCTGGGGAGTGAACTAGCGGATGGAAGACCCCTCTCTCTACCTCTCTTTGTAACTCTTTCAAATAAATAAATAAATCTTTTGAAAAAAGGAAATAAAAATAGATCTGTAATTGATGCACAGTTATTCTTAAGTGTTGAAAATTAACTGAAATGTGATCCCTGTTGAACATGGTGGTGGGAATGGGAGAGGGAAGAGATGTATAATTTGGGACATGCTCAGGCTGACTTGCCCCAAGTGGTGGAGTTGGAAGCATACCAGGGGATTCCAATTCAATCCCATCGAGGTGGCATGTACCAATGCCATCTCACTGTTCCAGGTGATCAGTTTCAGTTCACAGTTGGTCATGGTGAAGGGACTGGGAGTCAAAGGGAGCACATAGACAAGTCTAGTACCTGCTAACGCTAACTGATGGAGTAAATAAAGGGGAGAGTGATCCAACATGGGAAGTGAGATACTCAGCAGACTCATAGAATGGCAGATGTCCTAAATAGCACTCTGGCCTCAGAATCAGCCCTAAAGGCATTCGGAGCTGGCTGAAAAGCTCATGAGAGTATTTCAGGCATGGAAAGCCAAGACACTCTGGCAAAAGATCTCTGCGAGTGAGATCCCAGTGGAAAGAACAGGTCTTCAAAGAAGGAGGTACCTTTCTCTGAAGGGAGGAGAGAACCTCCACTTTGACTATGACCTTGTCTAAACAAGATAAGAGTCGGAGAACTCAGAGGGCTTCCATAGCCTTGGAAACTCATGACTGGAGCATAGGGAGATTACTGATGCCATAGACAGGAGTGTCAATTGGTAAAGTCAACAACAGGAGTCACTGTGCACTTACTCCTCATGTAGGATCTCTATCCTTAATGTGCTGTACATTGAGATTTAATGCTATAACGAGTACTCAAACAATATATTTCACTTTGTGTTTCTATGGGGGTGCAAACTGTTGAAATCCTTACTTAATGCATACTAAACTGATCCTCTGTAAAAAAAAAAAAAAAAAAAAAAAGAAAGAAAAGAAATTATCAATTCCCAACTTGACTCTCACTGGGATGAAACATGACAATAGGTCTGCTCTGATTTCATCATCATTTAAAAAAAATCATCTATCATTTTTCACTTTATGTTTCTGTGTGGGAGCAAACTGTTGAAATCCATACTTAATGTATACTAAGCTGATCTTCTGTATATTAAGATAATCGAAAATGAATCTTGATGTGAATGGAAGGGGAGAGGGAGTGGGAAAGGGGAGGGTTGTGGGTGGGAGGGACGGTATGGGGGGGAAGCCATTGTAATCCATAAGTCGTACTTTGGAAAATTATATGCATTAAATAAAAGTTTAAAAAATAAAAAAATAAAAAAAAAGAAAAAAGGAAATAAAAATATAGACATATAAATAAATACTTACTGAAAAAATATTGCAAGAAATATATCAGTTGTGTGAAAATAGCAGTATTATACAACTCTTCTTTCCTTTACTACTTTTTCTAAATTTCTATGCTATTTCATACTTTCATTATAGAATAAAATTAAGAATAATTAAATATTTAATTTGTTACAATACAATACAAACTTATCTGATGTGTATAAGAAATAGAAGGTAAAATGTATTGCTTACCTCTCTTTCATCCATATTCAACCACTGCTTTGGATCCTCTTCAGTAGCCAGAAAGGCTATCAATTCCAAGGCAGTAAGACGAGTTTGACGTCTTGATGAGACAAATATCAAAACTGGTTTGGCTGGAGAATGGCTTCGAATTGCTGTTGAAAAGTTATGGAAAATGAAATGTTAAGTCACTTAACATTAGAATATGAGTTTAAATGTATAAATTAAAAGTAAATGTTATATCTGATTCAGAAGATTCTTAATTTGGTGATGAAATGTAGAATTATTCCAGGTATGTCACAGATCTGACAATGAACTGGACAGATGACAGGAAAGGAGAGGTTGCTGGCCCTACTAAGGTTCTACCTAGATTTAATTGCTCTGGCTCCAAGTTCTTTGTTGAACTGTCAAGGAAGGAGAAACTTAAAGGTTGAGACACTCCCTTAAGAGGCCCCCACAGACACTAAATTGTAGGTTTACTTTTGTATTACTTTTTTAATTCTAATTTTAATTAGTTTTTAACAGATTCAATGTGATTTGTAGATATAATTCCATTTTTAAAAAAGATTTATTTATTTGAAAGGCAGAGTTACACAGAGGGAGAGGCAGAGGCACAGAGGGCAAGAAGAGAAAGAGAAGAGAGATATCTTCCATCCGCTGGTTCGCTCCCCAAATAGACACAGTGACTGAAGCCAGGCCGATCCAAAGCCAGGAGCCAAGAGCTGCTTCCATTCTCCCACGCAGGTGCAGTGGCTCAAGGACCAGACCATCTTCCACTGCTTTCCCAGGCCATAGTAGAGAGCTGGATCAGAAATGGAGCATCTGGATCTTGAAATGGTGGCCATCTGGGATGCCGGCAGTGCAGGCAATGGCTTCACCCACTATGCCACAGTGCCAGCCCATTTTTTGTGTTACTAAATTGTGTTTCTGAGACACTTCTGCTTGCCTAAGGAGAGATATTACTGAGTTCACTGGTCCTGGGTACTGGAGAGAGAGTCAAGTCCTATAGGGTGATGAAAAATGCCAAAGGTAGTAAAAAAAAAAAATCATTGAATTTTCCTCTCTGTTGCCAGTAGATGGAAAAATTAGGATAGTCTGTCCCCCAAAACAGGTAAGAGATAAATTAGAATATTATTCTTCTATTTTTCTCAAATATACATGTAAGGTTTTAAGTTGGAAGATTAGACAAGGAAGTTAGCTGAAGAGGGTACTATGCTCAGGTGTAGTCAAGAAACAAGAGGTGAGATGTGTAGTTCAAAACCTGAGTAACAAGACTTAAGGACTTTCATAGATCAAAGCATTAAACAAAAATTACTTAAAACAACCAAATAAATCACTTGACCTAACTGGAAATTAGGTTTCTTTGCTATCCATAGGCTCTAAAATGCTAAAAATATGGCACAACTAGAATTTACATCTACATAACTCTTAAAAACAGTCAGAGATATTTAAAAATTTTATATAAAAGTCCAACCTCCTTGTAATTTCTTGTTTGATCTGTGAGCTACAGAATTTATTTTTATGGGCTAAGAAACAAGGTTTATAATAGAAATGTTGACATGACCTTGACTATATTTATATCCTAACAGTGAAAAATAAAGCTATCACAAAATCATATTTCTAAGCCCAAAGAAATATAGTAATCACTCTAGGTATAATAAATGCTTTAAAAGGATAGCTTATACCATATCTAAAGAAGTGCAAGTATTTCAGTTATTTACCATTGATTTACATAACACAAAATGCTTCACTGCCATCAATAGTATGTAATCAGTCATTCTTTAAATAGATAAGCAATTTCAAAAAAAATATAAAAATACATTTCTTAACTTTCATCATTTATCAAAACACACAGTATAAATGATAAAGTTTTGATAAATCATATTAGAGATAAAATGTGTAAAATACACATATTAGTACAATATTGCTATCATCTGTACACATAATCATGAATGGATTTCTCTCTCTTTTTAAAACTCAACGCTTAATGGATTTTTGCTGCTGCAAGAACAGGTGTGGCTGAACAGCCTGGGAGAGATTTATTGTTCATTAGTGATTTTGTACAATGCTTCTGTGGAGGTGTAAATAATCTGAACTGCCAAGATTGGTCTCTGGTTCACAATCAATACTTTGCTTCTGTCATATGGCTAATTACAGCAGCTAAAAAGTCACCTCACAACTGTCACCTCACAATCAACAGCAGTTCACTTTAGAAGATTTATTTTGGAGGTGATTTTTAATTGATATAATAAATATTCCTTATGTAGCCTAAATAAAACACATTTCAATAAAATAGGAGTGTTATTCTCAAATCTTTCTTGTTTGCCAAATGTATTAGAAAAGGAAAAGCAAACAATACACAAAAGCAGAAACACTGTGCAATTTGTTTACTGAAATTTCTACATTTTATGGTTTCTGCTAAAATTAAGATTATGTGACTTTTTTTAAACTTGGAGAGACAATTTATCATTTGATCAAACTACAACTACCATAAGAAAACACCTTAATACTTAGGTTAATACTAAGAAGGAGTCAATTATTTTTCTTTCATTAAAAAGACATTATCATCCATGAAATCTTTAATTTCCAATAGGTAATTTAATATTTATGTTTCTTAACAGTTGAGGTAAAGAGCTTTAGATATTTGTCAAATGTACCTAGATCAATCTTTCAAAGAAACTGCGATCATTTAGAATGAATTTGATTTCTACCATAAAAGACAGATACTATTTCATTCCAAGTCTGAAGCTTACCTTGAAATGCAGGCTTATTCATACTAGCCATGCGAGGACAGTAATGCTGCCCAGGGAAGCCTTGGATGTGGACCTCCAGAGGAACAGGGCGTACTGATGGTCGGAAGTTGAACAAGCCCATCTAGAGTAAGCATAAGAGAAACCACTTTCAATTTCTACATTTAAGTTTATGATGTTATGAGGCCTTCTTAATGTGGTCACCTAAGCCTCACTACATGTTTCTAGCAAATAAAAATTCTACATACCTGCTTGATATTGAGCCAATCAGCAAGGTCTCTGGCATTAGCTAATGCAGTAGATAGTCCAACTATTCTAACAGGTTTTTCTGTATGAGATGAGATGAAATTTGTTCGTGATACAATGACCTCTAGGACAGGACCTCTTTCCTCCCCTAGAAAATATTAATAATGAAAGTTAATCATTTAACCAATCCATAGTAGCTGCTGCAAATACATAAGTCAAAGTTTGTAGGTTTTTCAGAGAACTAAAAATAGAATACTATGTGATCTAGCAATCTCACTTCTGGATATATATCCGAAGGAACTGAAATCAATATGCTGAAGAGGTATCTGTACTCTGTGTTCATTACAGCATTATTTATAATAGCCAAGATATTGATCTACCTAAGTGTCCACTACTAAATGAATGGAAAAAGAAATGTGGAATACACATGCGCACACACACACACACGCACGCACGCACAAACACACACACAGAATGGAGTATTATTCAGCCTTAATAAAGAAGGAAATCGTGTCATTTGTGACAACATGAATCAACCTGGGAGGTGCTATACTAAAGAAATCAATGAGGCAAAGGAAGACAAATACTGCTTGAACTCACTTAAATGTGGAACCAAAGTAAAAAGCCAAACTCATGGAAGGAAAGAGAATAGTGGTCACCAGAGACTGAGGGGGTGGGAAGAAGTAACATAGGGCTGCCAGTCAAAGGGTGGAGTTTCAGTTGCACAGGAGAAATAAATCTGTGAGGTCTACTGTAGAGTGGTGTGACTACAGTTACTAGATTGCACATTTCAAAATTGTTAAGAGTTAATCTAATGTTTCACCATAAAAACTGTGAGGTAACAGATATTTTAATCAGCTTGATTTAAGCATCCCACATTGCATATATTTATCAAATAACAAACACAATGTACATCTATATACACACAAAATTATCATTTGTCCATTAAGTTAATAAGACTCTTTTATACCAGAAAGTGGAAGTCTGTAAATTAGCCTTACATAGAGTGGTACCCACCAAGCAAATGGATCTCATCTATGATGAGAATAGTGACTTGCTGAACATAGCTTCTATTTTGCCAGCTTCTGCTGACTCCATCCCACTTCTCTGGTGTAGTGACAATAAGGTCAGCCTTGGCAATTGATTTCATATCAGGAGTCACATCCCCTGTTAGTTCAATAACTCTGGAGGGAAAATCAAAATGATTCCTTTAACCTCTCAGGCAAAACATGAGCTTGGAAAGGCAAGGACATATCTCTTTCGAAATAAGCTTTTATATTGCTTCAAACTGTTTTATCTCCACCTTTAATTTTTTAAATTTCATGAACTTAAAACATATTTCTTCAGAATTTTAAGATGATTCCTTGCCATAAAGTGACAGTCATATAAAGTCAAATTCCTAACACATTTAACTTTTGTAGAGAGGCAAAGGTATCAAACTTCGCTTTGATTATGTTTACAGAATCTTTGTCGGGGCAGGTGCGTGGTGCAATAGGTTAATCCTCCGCCTAAGGTGCCGGCATCCCATATGGGCACCGGTTCTAGTCCTAGCTGCTCCTCTTCCAATCCAGCTCTCTGCTATGGCCTGGGAAAGCAGTAGAAGATGGCCCAAATGCTTGGGCCCCTGCACCTGGGTGGGAGACCCAGAGGAAGCTCCTGGCTCTTGGCTTCAGATTGGCACAGCTCTGGCCGTTGCAGCCATTTGGGGAGTGAACCAACAGAAGGAAGACCTTTCTTTCTCTTCCTCTCACTGTCTGGAACTCTACCTCTCAAATAAATAAATAAAATCTTAAAAAAAAAAAAGAATCTTTGTCCTATTTGATTTTATAAAGCAGAAGTCAGACATCTTCCATATGTTGGAAATAACATCTTTGTGAGACAGTTTTAAATATTGAGACATATGAGGCATTCATTAAGAATGCTAATATGGGGCCAGCATTGTGGTGTAGCAGGTAAAGCTGCCGCCTGTGATGCCAGCATCCCATATGGGTGCCGATTTATGTCCTGGCTGTTCCACCTCTGATCCAGCTCCTTGCTAATTACTTGAGAAAATCAGTGGAAGATGGTCCAAGTGTTTGGGTCCCTGCTACCTGACATGGGAGATGCAGATGAAGCTGCTGGTTTCTGCCTTTGGCCTGGCTTAGCCCTGGCCACTGCATGCATCTGGGGAGTGAATGAGTGGATGGAAGATTCTCTCTCTTACTGTTAACTCTCATTTCAAATAAATAAATAATTTTTTTTCAAACAAGAATGCTCTTTTTGTTTTATTTCTTAGATAGGAATTTTGTACAGATATCACTGGCAAATTCAAATGTATTAGGACACATGGAAAGTAAGAGCTATCTCATGCTGAGCTGATCTCAGTCTTACAAACAGTGAACAGAAAAGCCTTTGTGAGTCTGAGGAATTAAATAATACATAGGAAAGTCTGAAGGATAACTAAATTTAAAATATTACTCAATATTTCTACATCTGTGTTAGCAATTGGAAAACAGAAAAATGATTGGTTCCAAGGCCTATGTTGTGGCACAGTGGGCTATGTTGCTGTTGACAATGCTGGCATCCCATATTGGACTTTTGGTCCCAGTCACAGCTACTCTGTTTCCCATCCAGCTTCCTAATGCACCTGAGAAAGTGTTCAAGTTCTGGGAGTCCCAGATGGAGTTCTGGGCGCCTGGCTTCTGCCTGGACAAGTCCTGACTGTTGTGGCCAAAATGGGAGTGAAAAATCAGATGGAAGATGTCTATGTCTCCCTCTTTCTGTCATTTTGCCTTTCAAATAAAAACATAAATTGTTTTTTTTTTTTTTAAATACTGGTTCCTCCAAATATAATGATTTCAAAGCATTTAGTAACTTTTATTCATTTCAAAGATTTTTATATTTCATATATTATGTTGAATATGTAACATAGTTAGCCTTAGATATCTGTGGTTCTGTATCTGTGGATTCAACCATCTATGAATTGAAAATATTTGTAAAAAAAAAGTCATGTCTGTTCTGAACACTCACAGAATTTTTTTCATGTGATAATCTCCTAAACAATGCAGTATAAAATCTATTTACAAGGGTCAGTATTGTGGTGCAGCAACTAAAACTGCTGTTTTCAATGCAGGTATCTTCTATCAGAACACTGGGTTGAGCCTTGGCTGCTATGCTTCTGGTCCAGTTCCCCGAGAAGGCAATGGAGCAGCTGGGACTTGATCCAGTGCCCATATGAGATGCAGGCTCTGTGAACAGTGGCTTAACTTGCTGCACCACAGTGCCAGCCCCGATCTTTTAATTTGTTAGTCCTTTTGACTATTGAAGAATATTTTTTGAGTAGAAGTAAGAACTTACTTTTTTCCAAGTTTTTCTTCTATTCTAACTTTCCAATCATCCATTCTTTCACGTACCAGGGCTTTTAGGGGTGCAATATATACTGCCTAAAAGGGGAAGATAGGCAAAAAGAGACTTATGAAAATAGTGACAATATTTTCAAATAAAGTAAACTCCAGAGAATGTCAAAATAGGACAGTATGATTTTTAAAGTATATCTTTAAATGCTGAGTACTAAATTTTTTAAATTAATAAGAGAATGCTATTAACTGGAATTACATTTAACCAACTAGCTTGACTATAGTCATCATTTCACAATATGTATGTATAATAAAGCATCACATTGTATACCCTAAGCATATATATAAATGCAATACACAAAAATAAGAACATTATATTCAAGAAAGCTTAAAGTCAATATTTATCTGACTTATAGTGTCATTTAATACTAATAAACAATATCATGACCATTTGGAGAAATGTTTAAATAAAAGCTACCCATCTAGCTCCTGTGTATAATCAAGGTATTTTTTAGAGTATTAGCATTTCCTTCATATCAAAAGTATTTGGTTATACTTCTTACATAGAAATATGGCTATGAATTAGGTATCTTATCGTGAAATTTTCTCTGAATTATAAGCATCATATACTGAGGAAAGGATGTGTGGGTGCCACTGGATACATTAAAAATTCAACTAAATATATACATTCTTTAATAGATCATGTTTATAAATTCAAAAAAATTTAACTAGAGGACTACAAAGCTTAAGCTAAAATTTCTTATAGCAAATTATTCCAATACTGATCTGTCCTTGAGAAACTCATTAAGCAAGTGATAAATGTACTCATTATGCTCTACCAGCATATTTAGAACTGGCTATTCAGAAATTATGAACTTCCTTTTATAAATAAACGTAAGCACACAACTCTTTCAACAAACCTTTGAGGTAGGGTACTTGTTGAACACTCTGAAAATGGCTAATTCAGCAGCAACAGTCTTTCCTGATCCAGTGGGTGCTCCAAGTAGGACATTACAGTCTGTGTGATACAGTGTATGAAATATCTGTGTCTGTACAGGGTTAAAGTGGCTGAAATTGTACAGTGCTTCATAGGCTTTACATCCCAAGGCTGTAATTGGTAGAGGCTGAAGATCCAGTAATTCTGAAAAGATCCAACAGGTCCTGTTATATAGTAACTGAAAAACATGCACAACACTGGATACTGTTTTTTAAAGAATATATTACAATAATCCTTGGTTCTTTTGAGAAGAAAGAAAAGCTTAACATAAATATTTGCATAAACCAATTACAGACTTTTCTCCCGTCCCTACGGTTATTATACTGGCATTCTGTAACTTATAGGGGAATTTTCTGTAAGTCAACTACAATACCCTTTCTCTGCCAATCAGGAAAATAACTTGAATAACAACTGTATGAAGCCTGTACATTATAGAAGAAAATTAAGTCCACCCTAATTTGCAAAGAAATAAAAAGAAAAGAAAACCATCTACAAGCTTTCTAGAGTAGTTACTAACAACATAATACTTTTGATCAGTTGGATACTGACCAAATCATAATGGTTGAATGAGCTGCTGTTGTAACCAAAGGAAATTGAAACGAATATAAGATAATTTCAGTGGGATGGGAGAGGGAGCAGGAAATGGGATGGTTTGCGGATGGGAGGGTGGTTATGGGGGGGGGGACCGCTATAATCCTTACCGTTGTACTTTCAAAATTTATATTTATTAAATAAAAGTTTCTAAAAAAAAAGATAATTTCAGGAGATGCACTGGGAATGGTGGAGTTCTGAGGCAGAGCATGACTGACTAAACAAAAACTGACTAAACAAAAACTAAACCCCATGACGGGGCTGCACTATGGCATAGTGGGTAAAGCTGCTGCCTGCAACACTGGCATCCCACAGGGCACTGGTTCGTGTCCTGGCTGTTCATCTTCTGATCCTGCTCCCTGCTAATGGCCTGGGAAAAGCAACGGAAAATGGCCCATGTGCTTGGGCCTCTGCCAGCCACAGGGGAGACCTGGATAAAGTTCCTGGTTTTGGCCTGGCCCAACCTTGGCCATTGCAGCCATCTGGGAAGTGAAAGAGCAGATGGAAAATTGACCGATCTCTCTCTCTGTCTCTATCTCTTCCACGGTCTCTTTCAAAGAAGTAAATAAACCTTAAAAAAAAAAAAAAAGCTATGAGGAAACTTTAAAAAATTATATCTGATTGTTTCTGGGGATTAGAAAATCAAAATGATTTACAGGGATTGTTACATACTCTTCAGTATCTAACCAACCTTGTCATTTTCCATAATCCAGAAAAGTATTGGTTAGAAAACCAGAAAGCAGCTTTACTCTCACAATTATTTATGGAAGATGGAGCTACTCATCTGAAGTTTGAATGAGAAGGAAAAAAAAAAGAACCATGAGGGGCATATAGTAGCCTATAACCTGCAACAGACCTTCCGAGGTACAGTTTCTTTGTTTTTTTAAAGTTTTTATTTTATTTATTTATTTGAAAGGCAGAGTTATAGAGAGGTAGAGGCAGAGAGAGAGAGAGAGAGGTCTTCTTTCTGTTGGTTCACTCCCCAGATGGCCACAACGGCCAGAGCTGTGCCAAACCAAAGCCAGGAGACAGGAGCTTCTTCTAGGTCTCCCATGTGGGTGCAAGGGCCCAAGTGTCAGGGCCATCTTCTACTGCTTTCCCAGGCCATAGCAGAGAGCTGGGTTGGAATTGGAGCAGCTGGGACTAGAAACAGCACCCTTATGGGATGCCAGCATTGCAGGCAGAGGCCATACCTGCTACGCCATAGTACTGAACCCCCCAAGGTACATTTTCAAAACTGACAGTATGGTAAATTTTCTTCTAAAACATGCAATTAAAACCAAACAGCTAATTTTTGGAGAATTTTCCTTGCTACATTACTCTATTACACAGATCACTGAGAAATAATCGCATGCTTTCTGTGTCAGATTTTTTCCTGAATTTTCTGTAACACTGAATACCAAAGAGGGAGGAGGAAAGGCACTGCAAGTTAAAACTCATATTTCCAGTAAGACTGAAAAAAAAAAAAACACTGTACAATATCAAATTCACTTTTATTGGTAGTATTAAATTAATACATTTTAGTTTAGTGAAAAGTGAATATTTTTCTTAGATTTGGGTTTAATAGTATGCCTTCATACACTTTGAGCCAGATAGACTCTGGAATAATTGAAATTATTTTGTGCATTTCTATTATCAACTGACATGCCATTTTGTTGGATTTACTGCTTTTAAAAATATAACCAGATGTGGGTGCTTGGCCTCATGGTTAAGATACTGATTAAGATGATCACACCCCACATTGCAGTGTTTAGGTTCAACGTCTAGTTCTGGCTCCCGGCTGACTCAAACTTCCTGCTAATGCAGACCTTGGGAGGCATCAGTGATGGCTCAAGAAATGGAGTCCCAGTCTTGCACATGGGAGATCTGAATTGCATTCCAGGCTCACAGCTTAAGCTTCCATAGCCATTGTGGGCATCTGGGGAATCAACTTGATGATGAAAGCTCTCACTGTCTTTGTCTCTATCTTATTCTCTCCCTGTCTCTCTCTGTCTTTGAAATTAAAAAGTTGTAATCAGAAATCAGCTAATTCAAAGAAAAATGATTAAATACACATTAAAATGTCATAGAAATGCACGTTAAAATCAAGTACTGTAGTCACATAAAGCTAGTGGTAATGTTGAAAGTATATACTTTAAACATTAAATATTTTTACATATTTTATTATGATATTCTAGATATCACAGAAGCAGTTAATGAAAAAAGATCATCTTCAATGAGTCAATCAATAGATACTACAATCTCATTATTTTTCTAGGTTGATAAAATTTTTTTTCTACTCTGCAAGATATCAGTGCAAAATTAAGCAGTAATATGAAGTATCTCTCTAAAATAAACCAAGACAATGAACAAGGTACACTCTTGACAAAAATGCCAAAGTTTAAAGGACTCCAAATAATGTATTCATTAACAGTAGTCAGAACTAACATTTCTATTTTGAAAAGACAGAGTTTTATCTTTGGAAGAATTATATGGAACAGAAATATTTGATTTTATTTGTCTATAAAGTAGACTAAGGGGCTTTTGACATTAATACTCATCAACTGTGGACTCTCAAAGAAAAATAAATTTAATTCACTAATTAATTATTTAAAAGATTAGTCTGAGGATAGCTTTGAAAGATTTCATGGGGCACTTCAGAAAGGTACTCCTTCATGTCATGAAAATAAAAAATAAAATTTTCCAAGTAATGTCAATGAAAAACATTGCAGAGCACTACTTACGTCTTTATAATGCAAGTGTGGAAGAACAGAACTAATGTGAAGTGTACATGTTATTTACAAGACTCAAGACCATTTAAAGCAAACATAAATCCGTTTTTTGTGCTACTATAACACAACTCCTTAGTGTTAGAATTTTTTTATTACAGAAGTACATCAGATGAGGGAAAAAAACTTCACAACTCACTAGTATGTTAATTAATTTAGCATATAGTTTGAGCATCCCTACAACAAAAAAATCTAAAATACAGAAATGCTCTAGGTGCCGTGGCTCACTTGGTTCATCTTCTGCCTGAGGCGCCAGCATCCCATATGGGTGCCGGGTTCTAGTCCCGGCTGCTCCTCTTCCAGTCCAGCTCTTTGCTGTGGCCTGGGAAGGCAGTGGAGGATGGCCCAAGTGCTGGGGCCCCTGCACCCGCATGGGAGACCAGGAGGAAGCACCTGGCTCCTGGCTTCAGATCAGCACAGCACCAGCTGTAGCGGCCATTTGGGGGGTGAACCAACAGAAGGAAGACCTTTCTCTCTGTCTCTCTGTCTCATTGTCTATCTCTATCTGTCAAATTAAAAAAAAATGCCCTAAAATCTGAAATTGTTGAGTGTTAACATGTTGAGAAAGGCAGAAAGTTAAACACCTTATCTCAGTAGAATGTGGGGACAGTCAAAACACAGGTGTATTATAAACACTCTGTAACATATACAATTACAGATGCAGACTCTATGAAGTGTAGTATGCAGGATGAACGGATTTTGTGTTTAGACTTTGGTTCTACTACCAAGATATCTCCTTATATATGAAAGAATTCCTTAATCCAAAAAACTGGAAATCTTCTGGTTACAATACTTTTGGATAAGGGGTACTCTCCAGCTGTACTAGAAATAAGTTTAATTGAAAAAAATCCTAGTAAAAGAGGATATCTCAAAGGTTTCAGGGGTTATAAATTCAATCATAAAAGACATTTTCATGAAAAAGCAGAGATGGACAAATTATAATGATTATACATAAAAATAAAGATGAAAGCATAGTAATATAGAAATAGTCTCATGCTTGTAGAAATATCAGAATTGGTCTAAACTCAGTTTAATGCTTTAGGAATGCAAATGAACAAAAGTTAAGGTCCACCATTAGCTGTGTGCACAAAATGTATACACATATAGATTTGATTTTGAAAAGTCTAATTTCAAACTATACTAACCAGTTAGATTTTGATTGAGATAGAAACTCCTTAAAGCACACTTTTCAACATTAATTAAACAACAAGTTTTAGACGTCAGTGATTCAATACAATTTTTTTTCAGAGATTCAAAGTAACATTAACATGTTACCTGTATGAGGAGGATGTCTCTCTGGTAGAATCAAATGTTGAAAGTTGATAATACAAACAGCCTCAGCTCCTAACCATCTATCAGACACTGCTCTGATATAGTACTGAGAAGGCAATGGTTCAAAAATAGGGATTGTAAACACAAGCAGTTGAGCTTCTTTACTAATGACCTGTGAAATAAAATCTAAAGTAAGTATGTGCATTCTAATATAAAGATCTTACTAGTCTTTTATTAAAAATAAAGAAGTTCTCTAGGATTTCCAAATAGCTGAGATAGTCAGTAGTTTAGAAATTATGGATGGTTCCCTTGTTGGATTACCTGATATAAGAAAAGGTAAAATTTGAACTTAGTTTATATTATTTACATTTGCATATCATCATTTACTAACAGTTTAACAGTTTGACTCATTATCAGAATTTCTCAGACATCATTCATTATTTAACTTCATATTTTCACCATATCAGCTGTCATATTATTTACCTACCTTAAAAAACAATCCCATCAATACCTAAAGTACAATAACAAAATCACTTATAATAAATAGAAGGTAACGATGCACTCAACAAAGTGAAGAAGCAACTGGCAGAATGGGAGAAAATATTTGTAAACTATGCAACTGATTAAGGGTTAATAATCAGGATCTGTAAAGAACTCAAAAACTCAACAATAAAACAAACATCCCGCTACAAAATGGACAAAGGACATGAACAGGCATTTTTCAAAAGATGGAATAAAAACGGCCAAGACACATGAAAAATGCTCAGGAGCCATCAAGGAAATGCAAATCAAAATCAAAATGAGGTTGTATCTCACCCCAGTTAGAATGGCTATCATCCAAAATTCAAAAACAGTAAATGCTGTTGGTAGGAATTTAAACTAGCCAACCATTACGGAAGACAGAATGGAGATTCCTCAGAAATCTGAAAATAGACCTATCATATTACACAGCCATTCCACTCCTAGAAATTTATCCAAATGAAATGAAATCAGCACATGAAAAAGTTATTTGTACCCTCCCTGTTTATTGAAGCTCAAGTCACAATAGCTATAATATGGAATCAACCCAGATGCCCATCAGTTGATGACTGGATAAAGAAAATGTGGTATATATACATTATGGAATACCACTCAGCCATAAAAAAAGAATGACATCCTGTCTTTTTCAATAAAATAAAATGCAACTGGAAACATGCTTAGTGAGACAAGTCTGTCTCAAAAATACAATATCATATGTTTTCTCTGATATGTGGCAGTTAATACAGAATACAAAAAAAATGTATAGGAATGAACTGGACATCTTCTGATTTGATTGTTGATTTTATCCTTTTTTTTTTTTTTTTGGTCCTGTGGAACTGTGGTCTTTCTGCTTTCTACTTATTGAATACTTTTTTTATTTGACAGGCAGAGTTAGACAGTGAGAGAGAGAGACAGAGAGAAAGGTCTTCCTTCATGTCGGTTCATCCCCCAAATGGCTGCTACGGCCGGCGTGCTGCGCTAATCCGAAGCCAGGAGCCAGGTGCTTTCTCCTGGTCTCCCACGCGGAGGCAGGGGCCCAAGCACTTGGGCCACAGCAGAGAGCTGGACTGGAAGAGGAGCAACTGGGACTAGAACCCGGTGCCCAAATGGGATGCTGGCCACAGGCGGAGGATTAACCAAGTGAGCCACAGCGCCAGCCCCTCTACTTATTGAATATTAAGGTTAGTGGTGCATTAAGTCTGTGAATATAGAGTGGGCTGAAATTACGTTTTTGCAAAAATCAAAGAAAAAAAGGGAAGAAGGAAGGAAGGAAGGGGACTGAGGGAGGAAAGCATGTTTATCTTCTTAGAATTATACCAATGAAATACATAAAATCTGTTCTTTTCATACTAATAAAAATTTTAAACAATGGTAATGATGAAGATAAACCCAATGAAAACAAAACACAGCTATGAAATTCTGCTGCTGTGTACCACAACTCTTAGCCTGAAGTTTACTTTCTCTTTGGAAAGAAATCACAATTGAGGTATTGGTTATATAACAAATTGAGTGTTTCTCTGTGACTTATAGAGAATTTTAAAAGGAATATTCTTTTCAATATTTGATTCCATACTCTTTAGTATTATGTGCATGTAACACCTAAAATTATTATTTTACATACTCTACAGTTCTGGAAGCCAAATTTTATGTAACCATGGCAAAGGTTATAACTGAGTTTCACAAATTATGGCCACATTTAATAGATCAACATTGTAACATTTAATCACTATGTTTCTAAACAGAAACATAAAATGATATACAAAGGTTTAATGGTGCTATGAAATCACAGATAAATCAGGTAAAAATGGAATTAGTTTATATTTTCTTTTCATAAGAGCAAAATAATAAGGATATATCCACACATACATATTTACCTGCTTTTTTAGAGTGAGAAAATATTCTGAATGATAAATATGATCATTTGTAGGATCTTCTACCCAAATCCACCAGGGTTCTCCCACTGTCCCATGGACCTAGAAGAAAGGTAGTATTCTAATACCATGTATATCATAACTTAAGTAAGGGATAGTGTTATGCATATATTCAGTATCTATTCCACTCTCTAATAGCTTTATTGATATACAGTTTACATGAAGTTCACTCATTTAAACTATACAGTTCAATGGTCTTAATTTATTTAGAATGTTGGGTAAGCATAACCTAATTTTAGAATCTCTTCAAGACCATAAGAAACCTTATAGCCATTAACAATCACTACCTATTCTCTATAGATTTGTCTTTTCTGGACATTTCATGAATATCAATGGAATCATACAATATATGGTCTTTTGCAACTGGCTTCTTTCCCTTGCCATCATGTTTTCACATTCATTTATTTTTTGAAGACTTATTTATTCTTTTTTTGAAAGAGTTAGAGAGAAGGAGAGACAAAAAGAGAGAGAGGGGGAGAGACAGAGATCTTTTATCCTCTGGTTCATTCCCCAAATGGCTGCAAAGGCCGGAGCTGGGCCAGACCAAAGCCTGGAGCCAGGAGCTTCCTCTGGGTCCCCAGTATGAGTGCAAGGGCCCAGTCACTCGGACCATCTTCCACTGCTTTCCCCAGTACATTAGCAGGCAGCTGGATTGGAAGTGAAGCAGGTAGGAATTGAACTGGTACCCATATGAGATGCTGGTGCTGCAGTTGGCAGTATAACCTGCTACACCACAGTGCTGGCTCCAACGTTCATCTTTGTTTAAGCATGCATTAGTACTTAATTTCTTTTCATTGCCAAATAGCAGTCCACTGAGTAGATAAAGCATATTTTGTTTATCTATTTCAATCCATCATTCTCTGCATCCCTTCTCATCCTTACAAATCCCAGTGTTGTTCAGTTTTCTTCTTGTGATTCAAGAGAATGAGACCACACCCCTCAGGATAATTTTGGTTTGCATAAGTCAATCAGTTCATGATACTCCCCTGATAACAGTTAGTGGTAAGGGAGAGGCAAAATGACAAATTTCAGCTCAATTCAACTGGGGAAAAAAAAAATAGTCTTAGGGCCCATACCCTAGGCTAGGCTGGTGAGGGTGTGTATCTTTTGCCCTATTAAATGTAAAAGGGAAAGCATGAAATTATTTTGGAAGCACCCAGCAGTGTCAGCAGAGCAAAGACATGGAAACATTCTGGGCCCTGAATAAGATCTTCATTAAACAGAAGATTCCACGTGCAAGGCATATTTTACTGATGACTCTTTTATTGTACAAGATAAAAATATTCTTGTTAATTCAATTTGAGGCAAGTCATATTTACCATCCTTGAAGCAACAGCATTCTGCTCGACAATATTAACTATAAAACAATTAAGTATTCTGTCTTTATTAATAAATTAAACCAAACTATGCCTGATTTATTACGAAGAAATGCTTGATTTATTAGAAGAAAACACTGTGAAAAAAATACGTTCTTCCATTCATTTCAAAAACAGTCCTTTAAACAGAAAATTTTTTTTAAAGATTTATTTTTACTTGAAAGTCAGAGTTACACAAAGAGAGAAGAAGAGGCAGAGAGAGAGAGAGAGAGAGAGAGAGAGACAGATAGACAGAGAGGTCTTCCATCCATTGGTTAACTCCCCAAATGGCCACAAAGGTCGGAGCTGCGCTGATCCAAAGCCAGGAGCCAGGAGCTTCCTCTGGGTCTCCCATGCAGGTGCAGGGGCCCAAGGACATGGGCCATCTTCCACTGCTTTCCCAGGCCATAGCAGAAAGCTGGTTCAGAAGTGGAGCAGCTGGGTCTTGAACCGGTACCCATATGGGATGCCGGCACTGCAGGCAGCGGCTGTAGCTGGGTCCCTGTCACCAATGTGGATGATCTGGACTGAGTTCTTGGCTTCTGGCTTTGGTCCCAAAGCCAACCCCAGCTGTTGCAGTTCTCTGGGATATGAACCAGCAGAAGGGAGATCTCTATCTCTCTGCCTTTCAAATGAATTTCTTAAATTTTATTGAATTAAAAAAGGATCCAGATTTGTCTTTATACAAATATAGTAACATGTGAACTATTGAAGGAAAAGAAGAAATAAAAACGAAAACAGAAAAATCATGGGAACCAAGGAAGGGCTTTTTGAATAAGGACCAGGTATAGTTGCTAAATATTCAGAGAAATAAAGAAAATAACTCAGAAAACAGCATGTATCATAGCAACCACTCAGTGTTTCAAGACTACCACTGAGGAATCAGTCTCGGCAGGAAAGAAATGTGTGATCAGGGGGAAAATGTAAAATATTTTTTCTACATGTCTGATATTGAAGAAAATGAGAGGAATGGTAGTTTGAGAAACATCAAGATTTTAAAAAATGACTATTTTAATGCTAAGAATAATTTCTAGTAGACTATAATGACAGATGTAGAGATGGCAAAAGTAAAGCTAACACGCGTAAAATGAAAGAAGATAGAACTCATGTGGCAAAGTCCTTGTGAGGTTGGATCCACCAAACTTGTTATTCAATGTTAAAACTTCCAGATTCCTAGATGGCTGACTATATTATTACCATACCACATGTTCTTATTGAGGATGAGAGTAAATATTACCATCGTGCTTTTAATGAACCTTCAATATATATTGGTTTTAGAAGATTTTCTATCTTACCTTGAGACAAATTTACTTGAACTTGCAATTCAAACATTTTTGTTTAGCATAGACAGAGCTATTTTACAATTCTACCTGATCATTCCAAGTAAAATCAGGAAAGATGTTAAGTGTCACTCGAAGGACAGTCCGGGTGATGGGCTGAATGGATGCTTCCATCATAACAGAAGGAATCTGATGAACACATTGCTTGACCTTCAGTCCAATATTCACATGATGCAAAATGTGACCTGTAAGAAAAACATCCCATAGAAGAAACGCGTCCAGATAGGAAAAAGCAATATAATCTGACTTGTAAATGATTTCCGAGTAGGTGATTTTATTGCTCGTTTTATAATTTGCTATGTAGAATAGCTGACATTCTTGACCTGACATGTTTGAATATTTTGTAATAGTTAACTTGAATTAGCAATTCATAGTTCTGAAAACCAGTATCAAGCTTTCTTCAGCTATTACTTGGGTTCTTATAATTACTGATATTTGACAATGTTTAAATTATTATAAATAGACTACCTCTCTCAAGTTAGTTTATAATACAAAACAGAAATAGTATTTTGCAAAATAGCCATTTATTCAGTATATATTTCAGAATTTTACAATCATGATAAGAAATGCTTTAATAATCAGATGCAGCTCACTCATTCAGACCCATTTCCAGAAAGCATAAAGATAAAATACAAAATACAAAATAAGATCAATCTGGCACGGAATGAGTTATTTATACATATTTTCATAATCATTTTAGAATACAGATATATCTAAAAGTGAGTATGGGGGAAGGAGTGGACAGGGCTGTCATAAACAAGTGGGTACTGAGTATAAGCATTTTTCTACTTTAGTTTGAACAACCAAGAGGAAATATATTCTATTTTTTGCCATCAAGGTTTTCTGTATGTCTTGGTTCCTGAACCCAGAATTTTTTAAAAAGTATACTTACTGGGGCCAAGGCTATGGCTTAGTGGGTAAAGTCGCTGCCTGCAGTGTCAACATCCCATATGGGCATGGGTTTGAGTCCTGGCTGCTCCATTTCCAATCCAGCTCTCTGCTATGGCCTGGGAAAGCAGTAGTAGATGGCCCAAGTCTTTGGGACTCTGCACCCGTGTGGCAGAGTTTTAAAGACACTCCTGGCTTCTGGCTTCAGATCGGCTCAGCTCTAGTCATTGTGGCCATCTGGAGAGTGAACCAGAGGATGGAAGACCTCTCTCTCCCTGCCTCTGCCTCTCTGCCTTTCAAATAAATAAATGTATTAAACCAATCAAAATGTTTGAAACTAAAGTTGGCCCTGGTTTTGATTAGATACTTGAACATTGCTCTAATATTAGTACCCTCAACTTCCCTTCTTAGTAATTCCAGATTCTCTTTGATGTTTCTGTTCTTCCATTCTATTATAGGAGAAATCTTCTACAAGAGGCGTAACCGTCTCAGCCTCTCAACACTTTCATATCTCTCGCCAACAGTACTCCTTCTTATTCCTCTTCTTCCTGACACCCTTCATGCACTATGTCTTTCCTATTCAGAAGTAATATATTGCCTAATTGATGCATTTTATATTTTTCCAATAAAATGTTAGATTATAGGGAAATATACATAGAATAACTTTTAAATACTATATGAAAAAAGGAGAACATCCAATGCCATGTACACACAGATACCAACTGGGTTTAAAAATCTGTATCTGGGTCATGAAGCTTATTTAGAAACTCCAGAGAAACACAGAGCATAAAGGCCTCTTATTTATAGCAATAATGCTGATATTTATCATAAGAGAATTTGAAATAAAGTAGAATTAAAAACTGAGAATAAATATCATTGAATGATTCTCACCATTTAGAGCTAAAATTTTATGTGTTTGAATAAAAAGCTTAAGTATAAATATATAAACTTCATTCTTTTTTTTTTTTGTAGAATGCTTGGGTTTTGAAAAAAGTTTAATTTTTTCTGTTGAGAGAGAGCGAGAAAGAGATGAACAGATGAGTTTCTTATGCTGATTCACTCACCAAATGCCTGAGCCAGACTGAAGCCAGCAGCTGGAACTCAATCCAAGTCTCCCACATGAGTGGCAGAAACCCAGGTATTATTACTTGCCACTTCCCAACACGTGCATTAGCAGCTGGAGACAGGACTAGAACTCATGGCCCCAATTCTGAGCATGCCAGTTGTGGGCTTAACTGCTAAATGTACCATCTCACTCTGTAAGTTTAATTTTTATAGCTAATTTGTGTTAAGTAACTTCATAATATTTGGAGTGATTTTTCCTTGACTTTAGATAAAAAGAGATTCTCATAAATATTGTAAAAGCTCATAATATTTTTACAGCTACTATAATATTTTATTTGCACAGAGCAATATAATCAAACATGTTTACTTCCTTCTTACCTATTTCATCTTTCCTCATGTCCTTCAGCTTATCCACAGTAAGATTTTTTTCTTCTAATCTTGTTAGAATGTGTGGTGGTAACACCGAGAATTGTCTCAAAGGGCTAGCCCAACCCCAAAGCCTCTTGTCAATGACTTTACTAAGATTCAGGAGCCTGTAGGTCATGGCAGGCCAACGTTTCCGCAGAGCAATTTCAAAAAGAGCACGGACAATTCTAGCTGCATTCTGAAGAATAAAAGGGGAGACTAATTGTTAGATCCAATGTGTCTGAAAATTTGTTAGCAAATTTATTACTCAAACAGTTTCAAAAAAAGTACAGGTCAAGCTGTACCCTTGAACTGTGTGCAACATCTTTCCTCATTCAACCTTAACTGTGTTATGTTCACATAAAAATAATCACATCCTTTATATGTTTATGTTAATTGCTTAACTTTCAGAGGGCAGTCTTACAAGCTCCACCCTTATACCTTACAAACAGGAATGAAACAGAGGTGAAAGGTATGCAATGTATTTAGAAGGCTTTGAAGAATCTAAAATATGAGACAAGTTAAGATGCCCCTAGATATGTGAGTATAATAGAGTGATTGATTTACAATGTTATTTAGAAAATTAACTTGACTATAGGGGCCAGTATTATGGTATAGTGGGTTAAGTCGCCACCTGGGATGCTGGCATCCCATATAAGAACTGGTTCGTGTCCTGGCTGTACCACTTCTGATCCAGCTCCCTGTTAATGAGCCTAGGAAAGCAGTGGAGGATGGCTCAGGTTCTTGGGCCACTGCACCCACATGGGAGACCTGGGAGAAGCTCTTGGCTCCTGGCTTTGGCCTGTCACAGCCCCGGTTGATGCAGCCATCTGGGGAGTGAACCAACAGATTAAAGATTTCTGTCTCCCTCCACCTCTTGCTCCTTTGCTCCCTCGCTCCTTCCTTTCCTCCCTCTCTTTAACTCTGCCTTTCAAATACATAAATCTTGGGGCCTGGCGCCATGGCGCAGTATGTTAATTCTCTGCCTGCGGCGCTGGCATCCCATATGGGCGATCGTTCCAGTCCCGGCTGCTCCACTTCCAGTCCAGCTCTCTGCTATGGCCTGGAAAATCAGTAGAAGATGGTCCAAATCCTTGGGCCCCTGCATTCATGTGAGAACGGGAAGAAATGCTTGGCTCTTGGCTTAAGATCGGCGCAGCTCCAGACGTTGCAGCCATTTGGGGGGGTGAACCAAAGGAAAGAAGACCTTTCTCTCTGTCTCTCCCTCTCACTGTCTGTAACTCTACCTCTCAAATAAAATAAATAAAATCTTTAAAAAAAAAGTAGATTGCATTGCTAAAAAAAAAATAAATCTTAAACTACCCATATTAATGGATCCTTATAAACCAATAAATGGTTTATTTGTTTTACATAAATTATTGTATTAAAATTTATAACAATTATATTTGATTAGTGTGGATATGATTTTACAGATGGACACAGGGGTTTAAGAGAATGGAAATCTGACAAAGATCATGTACCTAGTTGATCTTAACACACCAGGTCTAAATGATTCCGAACTTAATACAATTCTAAACTCAGTAGTTTAAGGATAACTTTATTAATACACACAAAGAAGGTTACAATATTTAAATCATTTTCTCTCTCTCTTTTTTTTTTTTTTTTTTTTGACAGGCAGAGTGGACAGTGAGAGAGAGAGACAGAGAGAAAGGTCTTCCTTTTCCGTTGGTTCACCCTTCAATGGCCGCTGCACCGCGCTAAAGCCGGTGCACTGTGCTGATCTGAAGCCAGAAGCCTGGTGCTTCTCCTGGTCTCCCATGTGGGTGCAGGGCCCAAGGACCTGGGCCATCCTCCACTGCACTTCCAGGCCACAGCAGAGAGCTGGACTGGAAGAGGAGCAACCGGGACAGAATCCGGTGCCCCGACCGGGACTAGAACCCGGGATCCGGCGCCGCAGGTGGAGGATTAGCCTATTGAGCTGCGGCACTGGCCACTAAATCATTTTCCCATATTCACAGCTAATGCCCATTTGTCTTGCCTCTTTCCTTCAATCATTAACTCTGCAGACTGTTTTACTGAATATGGTTTTTAAAATCATGGGCTTAAGGATACCTTCTAATATCCACAGAATTTTTATTTGAAAGTGAAGAATGTTTCTGGATAATATCAAAATCATAAAAAGCGACAAAAAATAATAAAGACTCTAAACAACAAACAGATGACTCAGCTTAAAATTATGAGATAAAAATGGTAAGAAGAATTAAGGAATTTGGTTTTATATAAGATGTTCATTTGTCTTTTTGGAAAACTGACTATGCATTATTTTTTTCAATACTTGATGTTTAAAACCAAAAATTGATATTTAGAAATCTGAGGACAGTTCTTTTACTCATTAAGAATGACAGAAAAAGTCTTTTTAAGGAAGAGAAAATGATAAATTAAATAAATATTTGATTGTAACTACCAAATAGGCTTCTCTACATCATTCCCACTTGTACTTTGTTTGTTTTTTAAAGATTTATTTTATTAATTCTAAAGGAAGAATTACAGAGAGACAGAGAGAAAGAGAGAGAGATCTTCTGCTGGTTCACTCCCCAAAGGCTTCAATGGCCAGGTTAGGCCAGGAGTCAGGAGCTTCATCCGGGTCTCCCACATGGCTACAGGGGCCCAAGCACTTGAGCTACCTTCTTCTGCTTTCCCAGGTACATTAGTGGAGAGTAGAATTGGAACTGTTGCAACTGCGACTTGAACTAGTATCCATTAGGGATGCCAGTGTCGCAGGTGATGGCCTTACCTGGTATGCCACAATGCCAGCCCCTAAATTATTAGTTTTTATATATCACATAAGTGATGACTTATTTACTTGTCGTGTTTGCCAACTTTGAAATTTACCAACAGAATATTTTAATCTGGAATGATATAAATTGGATGGGGCTAATGATCAATGTCTATGACCAATTTAGAGAGAATAAATACATGCTTTTAAATAAAATCCTAAGATATCTGAGGTAAGAGTTTATTCTAGAGAAGTTTATTTCTAGAGAAGAAAGTATAAGATATATAGAAGGAAATACCATTTTACAGAGTTTAGAGTGCCTGGGAAATTACTGATGGCTTGAATTACTCAAGCATAGTTTATACAAACATTCAAGGATGATAAATCCAGATCTATTTAAGAAAAACCAAGGATAATTTGAGATATAGTATTAATCAGGTTTATTTTCAGGGTACGCATCGTGAAGAAACTAAGTTATATATTGTGAAGCAATTCATATGTCAGTCTCTGATAATATTTTCATAATGATGAATGAAGCAGAAATGTTGATAGGTTATACACTCAGAATCCAGTGAAATCTTATCTTTTATTTAAATGATTAACTATTTCTTTTTTTTCATTTTCAATCGTCTTTATATACAGAAGATCAATTTAGGATAGACTAAGTAAAGATTTCATCAGTTTGCACCCACACAGAAACACAAAGTATAAAGTATTGTTTGAATACTAGTTATACCGTTAATTCACATAGTACAACACATTAAGGACAGATTCCTACATGGGGAGTAAGTGTACAGTGACTCCTGTTGTTGATTTAACAATTGACATTCTTATTTATGGCATCAGTAATCACCCAAGGCTCTTGTCATGAGTTGCCAAGACTATGGAAGCCTCTTGAGTTCACCAACTCCAATCTTATTTAGACCAAGCCATAGTCAAAGTGGAAGTTCTCTCCTCTCTTCAGAGAAAGGTACCTCCTTCTTTGATGGCCCGTTCTTTCTACTGGAATCTCACTCACAGAGAACTTTCATTTAGGTGTGTTTTTTTTGCCTTTTTTTTTTTTTTTTTGCCAGAGTGTCTTGGTTTTCCATGCCTGAAATACTCTCATGGGCTTTTTAGCCTGATCTGAATTCCTTAAGGGCTGACTCTGAGGCCAGAGTGCTGTTTAGGACATCTGCCATTCTATGAGTCTGCTGTGTATCCCGCTTCCCATGTTGGATAGTTCTCTCCTTTATAATTCTATCAGTTAGTATTAGCAGATACTAGTCTTGTTTGTGTGATCCCTTTGACTCTTAATCCTATCATTATGATCAATTATGAACTGAAACTGATCACTTGGACTAGTGAGATGGCATTGGTACATGCCACCTTGATGGGATTGAATTGGAATCCTCTGGCACATTACTAACTCTACCTTTTGGGGCGAGTCAGATTGAGCATGTGCTGAACTGTACATCTCCTCCCTCTCTTATTCCCACTTTTATATTTAACAGGGATCACTTTTCAGTTAAATTTAAACACCTAAGAATAACCATGTGTTAATTAAAGAGTTCAACCAATAGTAGTAAGTAGAACAAAAAAATACTAAAAGGAATAAAGTAGTAAGTTGTTCCTTGACAGTAAGGACAAGGGCTGATCAAGTCATTGTTTCTCATAGGAGAAAAATCATAAGAAAATATGAAATGACAATATATTTCTTTCAGAAAACCAGTTAAAAACAAAGGAAAAAAACAATGATTCCTATTTAAATTATGTGATTTAGATCTAATATAGATCAAATTGTTTACCAATATATTGGTTCATATTTTTAAGAATTTCATATTTTCAGCTATTTCAAAGCACTCCTGGAAATTCATGGCAGTTAATAATAATTTATGTGATACATAGTTTTTCTTTATGAGGTCTTTGAAAGAAATTACAAGTAAGACAACAGAACAATCTTTTTCATATTTCAAATAAGATTAAGCTTCAATTTCTCCTTAATTTAAAGGAGGCATTACTAAATGAAAAATAATGAATTTAGTATTCCTGAAAAGCAAAGAATAATCTTTTAGTAAGTATGTGAAGTAATACCTTCCATTTGAAAAATAACTTGGGCAAAAAAGTGACTTACTTTACTTCACAAGAAGGCTTGAAGACAAAACTGTAAATACCTTAATAATGAGTACTATGATACTTTTAAAAAGTGATAAATTATATGAACTATAGTTTAGAGGATAACTTTCTTTCAGTTCTCAACTTTTAGGAATCGAAAGTAGAGAAAAGAAATTACTTTTTGTAAAGTAACATCTACTATATGGCATATTTACTAAGAATTATTTAATGGTAAAAAGTCTACATTTCCGATCGTTGGTGTAAACTCCAAGAATCCCACAAACTTTTTTGTATGCTTAAATACTCTTATATCATTGTCCTTAAGAAATGATCTTTGTTCATTTAAAGTAGAAAAAAATCGGCTATCAGTATTTTAAAAGTCTGTAATAGAAATGATAGCAACATGAAAAAAAAGCCATGTCAAGCATCAGATCTCAACCCCAATACTTACTTATGAACACAGATTACATAAAACACATACCAATGAACAGAACCAGTTCTAAGACATAGAAGGCAGTTTGGTGGCATGTCACAAACAATACATTCACAGTGTAGCATGGATTAATTCCTTAGCCTATAGATTAACAAGAAGGAGCAAACAGGAAGGTAGTAAGGTTGCTACCTGTGCAACGTATGCAGAATCTGATATAAGGGAGAAACTGTCCATCTCTCCTCGGCTGATGTAAGTTTGAAGTAAGATGTTTATTTTCCCATAACTATTTTCTACACCTCCAGGAGCTGAGAGTTCACAGAAGTTGTTTAATAAGGCATCTAATTCCTCTATTTCCTCTTCTCTGACCTAGAAGAATCAACATTTTTAAAGGAACATTTAGATTGATTTATTGAAAATTTTTATATTGAAATGAAACACATTTTTTTAAATTTCTATTCATTATAAACTGACATTTTCTTTCTGCATTGCTAAATAATAATAGTTTTCTAAAGGTAGCTAATAAAATATAGTATGAAACTATCTTGAGGCTGATACAATTACATTTTATTATTCATCACCAATATTAAAGCTGCCATTGACATATAAAAATTTGATATGCCACAAAAATTAAATCTTCTGACCTCACCATCCTTCAGTTGATGAGATTTCATTTTTTATTTGACCAGTGTAAAACCTCTGCCCAATTGGATTAAGGCAAGCTTGAATTATTTTCAAATGCATTCATTAAAGATATATATTTTTATATAGTATAACATATTCATAGCTTAAAGCTGTGAAGTAGTATGATTTCAAAGTATTAAAGTTTTTACTGTTAACAAGATTAAATTATAATATGAGAACAGAAATATTCATATCTAAGCTTGAATCATAAATGAACTTTACATTTCTCAGCGAACTTTATATTTCAAATGAACCAAAACTACATACTACATTCTTTGATAGTTCCATTACTGTTAAGATTTATTCAAATTCCTTGATTTAAGATTGAAGCAAAGCAAGATGTCAGGTATGATAGTAATACTTTAATATAGGATAGTGGATATTATTGATGAATGGAAGAACATGTTCATACTCCAAATGTAAAGTATCACACAACCTATACTGTATCAGGAACAATTAATTTTAAGCTTTTATAAATGAACAAATGCAGATACGCAGTATGCATTTGGTAGCTTCAAATAATCTTACCTTGATTTGATCAAATTCTTCAGCTTTGGAAACTATAGCAAAGATATCACCTTCAGTTTTGTGTGCATCAAAGAGTTCATTAAAGGTCTACCAAGATAAATATAACATTTAGATAAAATTAAAATGCCAATAAAATTATTTTACAATACAATGCTATTACAAATAACACAATCTTTAAAAACATCTGGTGCTAAACAGTGCAGTTGTAATGTCTGTGGTCTAGTATTCTAAATTATTACCTTATTAAACATTACCAAATTTATCAAATGCCTAAAAAATTACTAAAACATAACAAGAAAGGCCTTTAAAAGCAAAGGGATCAATAAAATCTACTAGTGAGATAGACATTAGATATATAAAGATATATCATCATAACATTGTCTTTGTTTTCAGCACAGGCATGTAGAAATTTGCACCACTCACCATCTCTAAGTTGATCATATATCATGTGAAATTCAGAGAGTTGTAATTAAATGTAATGCATATGGATATATAATCTTTTTTTTTTTTTTTTTTTTGACAGGCAGAGTGGACAGTGAGAGAGAGAGACAGAGAGAAAGGTCTTCCTTTGCCGTTGGTTCACCCTCCAATGGCCGCCATGGCCGGCGCACCACGCTGATCTGATGGCAGGAGCCAGGTGCTTCTCCTGGTCTCCCATGCAGGTGAAGGGCCCAAGCAGTTGGGCCATCCTCCACTGCCTTACCGGGCCACAGCAGAGAGCTGGACAGGAAGAGGAGCGACCAGGACAGAATCCGGTGCCCCGACCGGGACTAGAACCTGGTATGCCGGCACCGCAGGCAGAGGATTAGCCTATTGAGCCGTGGTGCCAGCCGATATGTAATCTTAAGATTCTCACAATGTAACTAGTGAGGGTATATAGAAAATCAGAAAACTGGGATGCATAAAAATAGTCAAGGGTCATACAGAATAAAGACAAAGCTGAGTTCCCCTAAAGAACTGCAAGCACTTTTAGAACTGTTCATCAGCAACATGCTAGCATGTGGAAATATGAGAAAGGCCAGGGAAAATGTGTTGAGTTGAGGACCCACCAGACTGCCCTTGTAAGGTGTTACACTCGAAAGGTTTGGAAGGAACCTAAAATGATATACAAATCCAAGGCTTATTTGGAAAAGATGGAGAAAAACATGAAGGTATTTTCTGAAGCCCAGGATATGCATAGTAAATGTTAACTGAGTATAAAACCTACATTTCACATAAGCCAAGGTTTTCATATTTTTAAAATCTCATTTAAATGACTTCTATTACTTTCACCCCTTATTTTAAGAACAATTTTAAGCATAAAACTAAAACAGATATAAGAAAAAAAATTAAGAGCCAATGTTGTGGCATAGTGGGATTAAGCTGCTCCCTGTGACACTGGCATCCCATAATAAATGACAGTTTGAGTCCTGACTGCTCCACTTCCAATCCAACTCCCTGGTAATGTGTCTAAGAAAGCAGCAGAAAATGGCACAAGTTCTTGGGCCCCTGTACCCACATGTGAGACTCAGATGGCGTTTAGGCTCCTAGCACTGGGCTGCACCAGCCCTGGCTGTTGTGGCCATTTGAGGAGTTAATTTCTCTCTTTCTCTCCTCCTCCCTCTGTAACTGCATTTCAAATAAATAATTAAATAAAATTTTTTTTTTAAAAATTCAAATATTTCACTGGGAAAGGAAAACAAGGTAATACTTCACCTTAACCCTTCTCCCTCTTTTCAAATTTAAAATTTCTTCTGAAGGTAAGTCACTGTTTAATTTTTCCACAAACTAACAAATGTATATGAGCAGACAAAGACATAATATACTAGATGTAAATGTTAAAGAGATTTCCTGTTTTTACAAAGGACTTCATCAAAAGGCAACATTAAGGCTACAATTGAGCAATCAAAATTGTTCTTGAAAATCCCTTAAATTGCTCATATGGTATAGCTAGGTTGCCCTGGTAATTATTCATTTCTTTAGCTCTTTTTATCTATCTATCTATCTATCTATCTATTTTTATTTGCATACATTTCATTAAATACAACTTTAGGAACACAATAATTCTTTTCACTGTACCTGCCCTCCCACCCACACTCCTGCACCTCTTCTTCCCTCTACTGTTCCTGGTCATGTTTTTTACTAAGATCTATTTTCATTTAACTTTATACACAGACGATTAAGTCTATTCTAGGTAAAGAGTTCAACATTTTGCATGAAGAAGAAAAACAAAAGAGAAAGAAAAACAAAACAAAATATAACAAAAAACAAAACAAAACAGAAAACAAGAACAAAAACTGTTCCTCAAAAGTCCAGACAAGGGCTATTCAAAGTCATTGCACTTTCTTTCTTTTTTCTCTTTTAGAAACTTTTATCTTTAAAGAAGAACCAAGAATGATAAATCTTTTGTGAGCACTTAGACATAACTATAACTCATGAGACATAAGAATATCTTCCACTTAATACACTAAAATGAAGTAACTCTTTGAGAACCAGTTTTACTATTACTATTTACTATTTAACTTACTATATATAAAATACAACTCTGAAGACAGAGGTCCTGCATAGGAAGTTAGCGCACAGTGACTCCTGTTGTTAATTTAACAATTAACACTCTTATATATGATGTCAGTGATCCCTGGAGGCTTTTCACAAGAGCTGCCTAAGCTACGGAAGCCTTTTGAATCCACAAACTCCTTCAGTATTTTGACAAGGCCATGAGCAAAGTGGAAGTTCTCTTCTCCCTTCAGAGAAAAGAAGTACCTCCTTCTCTGATGCCTGTTTCTTTCCACCGAGGTCTCACCCGCAGAGGTTCTTCGCATAGAAGATTTTTTGCCACAGTGTCTTGGCTTTCCATGACTGAAATGCTTCCCTGGGCTTTTCAGCCAAACTAGAGTGCCATAAGGGTTGATTCCGAGGTCAGAGTGTTTAGCTCTTTTTAAACGCATTGCTTCTTGATAACATGTAGTTAATTTTTCAACTTTTCATTCATAGATACCATTAAATCATTCCCTTGCAATTAAAATCATTCAGACTTTCATTCCACAGGTCTCCCAAATACACTCTGACAATTTTAGGTGGGTATTTGTCTACTGTTTGGAATACACTTTTTGAACAAGATAGCAAGAGGATTCTTTCTCTTTTGCTTGTCTTTACTGAGGGTATATCACTGAATTCATGTAAGTTAAACACATTTTGTTCAATTATATACTTTTTGTTATTTTGTATTAATAATATATTTTGAAGTCTAGGAAGTATTTATGTCTAAAAACATTCTGCCCAGGATAATACCTCAATGGTGCTGTATTTAATATAGTAGTGGCTGGCGGTTCTACCCAAGTCAGTTGAGGAAAAGTATCCAGTCCGTTCTTCAAAACGAATCATCTGAGCTTTGTCTAATTTTCGTCCAACTTCAATGACCAATTGTTCTCGATGTTTTCTTAATGTTGGGTCAATCTCAAAGAAAAAGATACACATAGATATTTCTTTAGTGAGTCATCTTGTAAAAATACCTATTTGTGGAAATTAGATTTTTCTTGCTTTGAATTTTTTATTACAACTTAAAAAATACATCTACATACATTTAGATGATACCTAGAAAATATTTTATTCCATTAAGTAAAGGAAGTTTTGAAAATTCATTAGAATTACCAATCTGCACAGTCTCTTCAACGTTAGTACTTTGGAATCTAAAATTCTTTTATGATCTTGTAACATTTAGTATTTCAAAAACTGAAAATCAGATTAGAATACAAGAGTAATTGTTCTCTACTTCTACAGTAAAATAAGAAGGGATTTTAAATTATCAAATCATATTCCTAGTTTATCAGTTACTCAGAGAAATGAAACAATGCTTTTCTCCATCAATATCAAGATATATAAAAATAAGTGTAGATTTCTTCTTTTTTAAAAAAATTGTTTGAAAGGCAGAATCACAGAGAGAGAGGAGAGACAGAGACAGAGGGAGGGAAGGACAGAGGGAGAAAGGGAGAGAGCGAGAGAGACAGAGAGAGAGAGACGGTTTTTTTTCTTTCTTTTCATACTATTCATTGAACTCTTTTACTACGTGTAGGGATAACTATATGTTCATTAAGTACACTGAAAACATATCTTTGTAAAAGTAAGAGTGGGAATGTGAGAGGGAGGAGGAGGAAGGGTTGGAGCGTGGGCATGAGGGAAGGTGGGGGGAAGTGTTACTATGTTCCTAAATCTGTATATATGAAGTACATGAAACTTGTATAACATAAATTAAAACAAAAAAAGAGATGGATCTTCCAACTGCTGGCTGACTCCTAAAATGGCCGCAATAGACAGGGATGGGTCACATGGCATCCAGGAGCCTGGAGACCCATCAAGGTCTCCCATGTGAGTGCAGGGCCTCAAGTACTTGGGCCATCTTCTGCTGCTGTCCCAGGTGTGTTAGCAGGGAGCTGGATCAGAAGCAGAGCAGCTGGGAGTCAAATTGTTGCTTGTATGGGATGCTGGTTTTGCAGCTGGTTTTGCAGTGGTTTAATGAGCTGAGCCACAACACTGGCCACAAAAGTTACTTTTTAAAAAATACAGTTTTAGAAAGCCAGCTAATTTAGGGGTTAATATACCCATGTCTCTCATCACTGTATCTGGGTTTGATTCCAAGCTTTGACTCCTAACTCCAGTCCTCCAAATGTAGACTTTGGGCCTTGGGAGGCAGCGGTGATAGGTCAAGTAATTGGGTTTCTGTTAACCATGTGAGAGACCTGGATACTGTTGCTTTTTCTTGGTTTTGACTCTACTCCAGCCCCAGGTATTGTGAATATTTAAGGGGTAAACCAAGGAATGGTAGCTTTGTCTGTCTGTCTGTCAGGCACTCTGCCTTAAAAATAAATAAGAAGGAAAATAAATATATTTACTGTTCTAGTAATTTTCCTAACAGTTGATGGGAAAATTGATCTATCTTCTCTATAATAATAATAATAATAGAAACAAAGAGTAAAAGGAAATAGGCAATGATTTTTTCTCCCTGGAAAAGATTACAGTCTTCTACTAAGCAGAAATGACATTAACAAGCACTCGTTACTATGATGTGTATCTGTAAATATCTGTATGCATACCATACGTATACACATACCAAGTATTGAAGATCACTCTTTGGTCATGAGCAATAAAATGAAATATGATCTTTAATAAGGAGCCAGGGAAGTGCAAAACACTTTAGAAATCAATTAATGAGTTAGTACTCCTACTATTTGTTGTAATTTATATTTTTATGATAACTTATTTGTGCCAAAATACAACTAAACTATGTTTTATACATCAGAAAAATGAAGCAAATGGAAATTAATGGCAGGGAAGTAAGATGGAGTCTGGAATGATAAACAAATACAGCAAGTCTTAAATATTTGCTCTAAGTGATATACTGTAAGTATCAGCCTTATAAAACTGCTTTATTAATCATATTTACTAAACATCAAAAAGTACTCTTTTTAACTATTTGATTAGAACTAGTTCATAAGGGTATTATGGCTACAAATTCATATTGAGTAATAAAATCAAAATATATAAGTCAAAAAAAGGTCAAGACTATCTGAACTATGAAACTGTGAAACAAAATATCTTGGTAGAAAAAAAAATCCTTTATACTAGAAAAGTACACAAAAATAATTTCTGATATTAACCTGATAATTAAAAATCAACTGATGTCTCTCTTTTGCTCCAAGATTTGAGATGGCTTAGCCCATGAAAACGCATGTTGTTGCTTTTTCTATTATTTAAAAATTTATTTGTTTTCATTTTATTTGAAAGGCAGAGGGAAGGAGTTAAAGAAAGAGACAGAGGAAGAAACAGACAATGAGAGGTCTTTTATTTGCTGGTTTCCCCAAATGCCCACAATGCCTGAGGCTGGGGCAGGCCGAAGTCAGGAGCATGGAACTCAATTTGGGTCTTCCGTGTGGGAGGATCCCACTACTTGAGTCATCATCTGCTGACTACCCAGCATGTACAGTATCAGGAAGCTAGAATCAGAAGAAAAGCTGAACTCAAATCCACCTGTTGATATATGGGATGCCGGCATCCCATGCAAAGTCTTAATGGCTACACTTAACACTGGCTCTTGCTTTGTTTTTCTTTATTCCTTCAGAATATTTTCATTGACCTTTCTCATCATGTCCCTACTTTTAAGTGAGAGTAGCCAATTTCATAGTCTTTAAAATGTGTAAGGTTATAATATATTTATATTTTGTAATAGAACTTTTTAGCTTAAAAGAAGCTATTCATTTGAAAATAAGCACATATCTCAACTGAGAAGAAGAAAAGTAGTTGAATGTCATTTAGGGAGAACTTAAGCATGAAAAAGATAACGATTTTAGATTAACTGCCTCAGAACTAGTTGCTGGTGCTGCTTTCCTTATCTCTGTGCCTCCTGCCTAAGCCTTAAGTTTCAATTTTTCCATAGTAAAATCTACTATACAGGAAAAGAAAACATGAAAAAAACAAAGACTGCACACTATTTTGAAATATACAAAAACTAGGCTATAAAGTAAACAGAAGAAAATTATAATTTTTAATTATATTAACTTCTTTGCAAATTTTGACTTAACACTACTAAATATTCATATGATGATGGTGAAATGATGTTTTAATTAGATAAGAATTGGGGTGTATCTGTAATTAGGAAGCACTTACAGTACATAAAGCAAAGGTCTACAGACAAGATCTAACAGGATCTGTGGAACACATGGACCACACAGCTGTGAAGTTCATGGGAGGAGCAGCTATCACATGCATCCAATTCTCAATCTACGCATATGCAGTAATCCCCGCCTCCAATGTGTTAAAACAATAACTCATTAATGTTATCTTTCAATTTCTGAACAGAGTTTAGAAGAGACTTGACAAAAGGAATAGATCATATAGAAGGCTTTTGCCTGTTTCCTCATGTCTCGTTTATTTGAATAATAAACTGTTAATAATATAATGATTCACTTATTGGTTTCAGTAGGAAAAGACATTTAAACACAGAAAAAGGGCAGTTTTAATTTTCTTTAGCATTAAAGATTAAAGCCCTTTGTTTTTCTTCCAGGGACCTAACTCTCTTCATATGAAGTAAGAGGAAAAAATATGTATCCTCATATCATTAAAGGATTACAAAACAAAAATAAGGTTTTAATTTTTTTTAATTAATGAGTTTTCTACCTGGTACGCCTTGTGACTGATGCCATATACTAATGGATTTGCTCTCATCCGTACATAAAGATAAGTGTAACTTATCCACTTCACTGCTTCTTCCACATTAGTAACTGTTCCTAGAGCAATCTGCAAATCAAATAGATAATACAAATTAAAGTTGGAAATAAACATTACATAAAAGACCATTTTGTAAGAAGTTGTTTTTAAAATATATAATTACACTGCATTTAAAGGAGGTAAGCACAATTAACATGACACTTCTGTAATGAGTCAAAAATTTGAGAAAAATACATTAGAAATATTGTCTTGCTATGGAAATAGCCTAGACAGCTCATAGCAAGAGTCTCGGGTGATTGCTGACGTCATAAATAAGAGTGCCAATTGTTAAATCAACAACGGGAGTCACTGGGTACATGCTCCCCACGTAGGATCTCTGTCCTTAATGTGCTTTACTATGAAACTTAAAAACAACACTACTAGTCAAACAATACCCTATACCTTGTACGGTTGTGAGTGCAGCCTGTTGAAATCCTTGCTTAGTTTATACTAAGTTGATCTTCAGTATATGAAGGTAATTGAAAATGAAACTCAATGAAGGGCGGGATGGGAGAGGGAGTCGGGGAGGGGAGGGCCACGGGAGGGAGGGAGGTTGGGGGTGGGGAGCCATAACAATACAAAAGTTACACTTTGTAAATTCACATTTATTAAATAAAAAAAAATAACTATATAAAAAAACAAAAAAAAGAAAGAAAAAAAAGAACTTAATACTTTACCCTTTTAGTATTTTTTATGTTCTACTTAAAACTATCGGTTGAACTCTGTAATTAATACACAATTACTCTTAGGTGTTTAATTAATGCTATAACTAGTACTCAAATAGTATTTTACACTTTGTGTTTCTGTCTGGGCGCAAACTGTTGAAATCTTTACTTAATATATGCTAAATTGATCTTCTGTATATAAAGATAATTGAAAATTAATCTTGATGTGAATGGAAGGGGAAAGGGAGTGGGAGAGGGGAGTTTTGTGGGTGGGAGGGAAGTTATTGGGGGGGGAAGCTATTGTAATCCATAAGCTGTACTTTGGAAATTTATGTTCATTAAATAAAATAAAATAAAGAAATATTACCCTGCAAAACTGAACTTACTATTATAGCATTTTATTATTTTTCTCTATATGAAATTTAATTAAACATAACATTAAGGATATTTATGGCATTCATTAATTTTTTTCATATTCAATATCTTCACGCTTTGATTTCCTTCACTTTATGTGACCACACTATGCAAACATTTAAATGGAAGTACACCAGAATAAAAATGAAAGATTCTTATCTATCCCTCTTCATTCTGATTCTGTATATTAAACCACAGGGTACAACATTAGCTCTTACCCCTAAAGATACCTATTTTCAGGATATCTAGGTGTAAATATACAATACAAATACAGTGAAAAATGCAACAATTACTGCACTAAAAGTGTAATTAATTGTACTTATACATATTTATATATAGGTAAGTGTTAGACAAACTATGGAAAAAACATTTACACATTTAACCATAATAAACATTGGATGATTCTTTAATAAATTATATTCTGAAAGGAAGTAAGATTTTCAAAAATTTTTTTATTTGTTTGAAAGGCAGACTTACACAGAAGGGGAGAGGAAGAGAGAGAGAGAGAGACAGAATGAGTTATCTTCCATCCACTAGTTCACTCTTCAAATGGTCATAATGACCGGGGTTGGGCCAGGACAAAGTCAGGAGCTTGGAACTCCATTCAGGTCTCCTATGTGGGGCAGGGGCCCAAACACTTGGGCCATCTTCTGCTGCTCTCTCTGGTGTATTGGCAGGGAACAGGATGGAAAGTGGAGCAGCTGGGATTTGAACTGGCATACATATGGCATGTGGGTATTGTAGATGGCAGCTTAACTCACTGCATCACAACGCTGACCTCCAGAAATATAATTCTTTTTTTTTTTTTAAGATTTATTTATTTATTTGAGAAGGAGAGTTACAGAGAGGGAGAGACAGAAAGAGATCTTCCATCCACTAGTTTACTCCCCAAATGATCACAACAGCCAGAGCTGGGCCAATCTGAAACCAGGAGCCAGGAGCTCCTGCAGGTGCAGGGGCCCAAGCACTTGGGTCATCTTCCACTGCTTTCTCCCAGGCAATAGCAGAGAGCTAGATTGGAAGAGGAGCAGCCAGGACACGAATTGGCGCCCATATGGGATGCTAGTGCCATAGGCAGAGGCTTAAACCACTACGCCAGAGCACTGGACCCAGAAATAAATTCTTAATATATCATTTTAATGAAGCCTTGTGATACATTAAGTGAAACCAAAGTTTAATAATTTAAAATCAGAACAATGGTACATAATGTCTGTGTAATAAAGAGAAAGGAATTATTAGACAATATTAACAGAATGTCAACAAGTTTTCCTAAAAATATGTTTTCTCAGCTAATGGATCCATAGGAACTAACTGGTTTTTCTTACAGTGCTCATTTTACTTTACAAACTTGCCTAAGTTGTAAAATTTCAACCCAAGTTGTGTATTTTTTTCTGGATTTTTAGCTCAAAAAATATTTTTATCATCTAATACTTTACTCAAAGGAGAGAAGATACTACTCACCTAAACTGTTAAATTTTAGAAGAAAACAAAAAAACCCAAACCTTTAATTTTAGTATTAAACATATAAAAATTTTTTGTTTGCTTTAATTCTTATAATTTTTAATTCTGTTTAACCACTTCCATGAAACACATGCATATTTAGTTGCCTTTAGGGAGTTGATGATGAGATGCAGTAATATGCAATTTTTATCATGACATTATACTTGCTATTTTTTCAAAAGTACATAGAAAAATCTAATTTTCTTTAAAAAGATTTATTTGAACTTTACAGCTACAGAGAGAGAGGGAGAGAGATCATCCGTCTGCTGGTTCACTCTCCATATGGCCACAAAGGCCAGGGTTGGGCCAAGCTGAAGCCAGTAGCCAGGAGTTCCTTCCAGTCTCCCTTTTGGGTGGAGGGGCCCAAATTTTAGGAGCATCTTCTGCTGTTTTTGCCCAGAGCATTATCAGGCAGCTGGAATGGAAAGGGAGCAGTGGGGATATGAACTGGAACCTATATGGGATGCTAGACGTCACAGGTGGTGGCTTAACCTGCTACATGCTACAATGCTGGCCCCACTTGTTTGTTACTAAAAAAAAGAAATGGCCAAAAATAAAAGTATGATAAAGGAAATTCTATTTATAGTTAAACTTGCATGAGCTCATTAACAAACTAATAAGTCACTCAAAATACTGGTAAATATATATATTTAATGAAATGTAAACCACGAAGCTTTGAATAAAATGAAGAGTAGTAAAAACTAAAACTGAGCCAATGAAGAAGTTGTGTAACAATTCCTGAAGATTTACAAATAGGGTGGTTCAACATTTCCTTTTTTTTTTTTAAAGATTTATTTATTTGTTTGATTTTAGAGTTATACAGAGAGAGAAGGAAAGGCAGAGAAAGAGCGAGAGTGAGAGAGACAGAGAGGGGTATTCCATCTGCTGGTTCACTCTCCAATTGGCCAAAATGGCTGGAGCTGAGCCGATCCGAAATCAGGAGCCAGGAGCTTCTACCAGGTCTCCCATGAGGGTACAGAGGCCCAAGGGCTTGGGCCATCTTCTATTGTTTTCCCAGGCCATAGCAGAGGCTGGATTGGAAGTGGAACAGCTGGGATACGAACCGGTGCCCATATGGGATGCCGGCACTGCAGGTGGTGGCCTCATCTGCTACACCGCAGCATCGGCCCCTCAACATTTTCTTGTACCCTTATGTAAATGAAACTAGTTCGATGGTATGGCTAAAAACCTGGTAGCTTCTCTCTTTTTGAGTTCATCTGTTTTATAGCTAAAATTATATAAAATGACAGAGCGTATGATGCATATTCCATATTCACTTATAACTTTATGATATTATTTATAAAATCAGATTATACAACTCTTAAGAGTAGACCATTTAAAAGCATAAAATAAACTTGTTAAATTTGAAATCTGATATATTAAATTAACAGTGATAATTACCTATTGCTACTACTGATAAGACCAGTAAAGGAAAGGAGCAAGTAGGTGTCAAAGATTAGAACAGGTAATGAAAGCCTTATAAATGTTCATCAAAAAGGAATGGACTACTCAGAGAAATAAATATAACTTTATTATGGTATATCTTATTTTGAGACTGATCCTTGATCGCCATCTAGTGACAATCATAAAAATTTACTTGTAAATATTTGCTGTCACCTAGTGGCTACTCAGTATGGGGACTTTTTCTAAAACAACTGATCTTTTCTTTCAATATCATTCCTTTGAGATTTATTCATTCACCTCAATAATCATATCAAAAATCAGTAATAAGTGTGAATTATGAGTCAATGGATATGGTAACTAATAGAGCATTGTTACTGGTTTCATGAAACTTTCTAATAATAGAGATGAGAAATATGTAACTAATAAAGATAACACATATGATCGTGTGGAAAAGGGAATTAAAAGATACTTGTCAATGCAAAGACATTTTGAAATCCATGCATAGTTCTTTCAATAAAACGCATTTCATGAACTTTTTGAAGACTGCTCATATCATGAATTTCAATTTTTTTTTTGCATCAAACATCATCTTTTTTTTTTTTTTTTAAATTTATTTGACAGGTAGAGTTAGAGAGAGAGAGAGAGAGGCAGAGAGAAAGGTCTTCCTTCCATTGGTTCACTCTCCAAATGGCCACTACGGCCGGCGCTGTGCTGATCTGAAGCCAGGAGCCAGGAGCTTCCTCCTGGTCTCCCATGCGGGTGCAGGGGCCCAAGCACCTGGGCCATTCTCCATTGCCCTCCCTGGCCACAGCAGAGAGCTGGACTGCAAAAGGAGCAATCGGGACTAGAACCAGTGCCCATATAGGATGCTGGCGCTGCAAGGTGGAGGATTAACCAAGTGAGCCACAGCGCTGGCCCCCAAAAATCATCTTATCTTTTAATTTCATTTTCCAGGAAAATTCCATTTATGTTACCATTTTATTTACTTAGTCAACTAAAATTTCAGTGCTGGCAGTATAAATAGAGCTGAGTATCAAAAGATTTTCATGAATGAAAATAGATCCTAGTAAAACACAAGACTGGGAACAGCAAAGGGAAGTGGAAGAGGTGTGGGAGGCCGAGTACAGTGGGAAGAATTACTATGTTCCTAAAGTTGTTTTTATCAAATGCATGCAAATAAATAAATAAATAAAAAGACTTTCAGAAAACAGCAAGTGATGCTATCACTGCATCCCAATGTAGCATAGTTTTTATAGGTGAAGTGAGTAAACAGACTGTCTGGAGCAGAAGACCTGAGTTGGAGAGTGACCAGAACCAGAACTGGGAAAGGAGACCTTTAATCCATGGACATGGGGCTGTGGAACATCTTGTAGAGGTGGAAGGAACTGCATATAGGGAAAGTATGTAAGATCACGAAAAGATGAACATAATCTGAACACGCTGACCACAGTGGGCTGACACAGAGGGGTATTCAGTGATGTCTCTTTGATACAGGACACCTTCTGGTCAGAAGTCCCTCCTCAGGCTAACAGACCTGAAGCAGTTAAGCCCGATATGGCTGACTGAGTAACCTCTAGAAAACCTCAGACCTCCTATTTCCATGCTCACTGACACACAGTCGCCATGGCAGGATATAGCGGGCCCCTTACAAGGGGTGAAAAGAGAGTCACCTGAGTTTTGAGAAATCTCTGCCTATTCCAGGAAGAGACATGAAACTGCCTCCTCTTCATTCCTGTTGCTCCGTATCCATATCTAGGGCTCCTCAGCCCCAACACATAGAGAACCTGATTTGTGAGTGAGGCTCTCGTTTCTCCATTTTTTGGCCACTGAATAAACTTGTGTTCTTGACCTTTTGGGCTTCACCGTATTGAACCAAGGATCCTGCACTGGGGTCTCTCCCCACAAAGCAGGGCTAGCAACACTGCAACCTTTCAGCATTAGAAATCTGGGAGCTGGCAATATCAGGTGTCAATCAACCAAGATGCCTCATAAAATGTTTTCATTATAATTATTACTTAATAGCGTTATTTCTCCAGTTCCTAGATGAACAGTCAGAAATGATATTCATGACATCAATGATATTAGTAGAGGTAACATTCCTAATCAGACAGGACTGTTAGGCTGGTCAATGCCTAACAGTGCAGTCTTGCAGATTTGGGGAGTCTAAAGACAAAATCCATTATCTTGAAAACACAGCACACACTTATTTTGTAAACCAATTTCACACTTGATTTCCACAGATTACCAAATCTAATTTCAGATTCAATTATAATTTAAGGGAATTTGTTTCTTTAACAGGAAAATCTACTTTAATAAAGAGCTTTTCTAGAAGACTGACATGAGAAGGTTTAGCAATGACTATACTTCACTATATTAGCTGAAAATTTCAAGGTGTGTGTTTCATTATTTGAAAGTCATTTATATCACTAAATGGAATTATGCTTATAGTGATTTGACATTTCTGCAAATGACATATTTAATAAGTACTTTAAGAAATAAGTTCTGAACTTCTGGGCCATAATTTATTTTTAAATTTTCAGGGCTTGACCAAATACATGCCCTGATGCTATTTTACCGACCCTAAGAAAAAGAGTTCTTTGAAGACAAGAGCAATAGTATAATCACAATAGTTTTATATTCATGTAGACATTACTACATGTGTCTTTTGCATGATGCTATCACTACTTTGTGATATTTTAATTTTTAAAAAACCCTCAAGGCAAGTTTAATAAGATATATTCTTTCTTAACATGGTATTTTAGAAAAACTGAATCAAGAAGACTTTTTTTTTACTGTACACCAGCAAAATGGTTAACAATTTTTGGAACATGTTTAGATAAGGTCTTAGAAGAAGCCAAATGTTAAATATTAATGTAAGGAAATGTAAACATCTTTAACTTATTGCATTTTCTGTAATAACAGATACCTAAGCTGTAACAGACTTGGAGTTAAATAGATTCAAGTTTGAATACCTATTCAAAAGTTCATAGAATAATGGAATTAAATAAATTTAGTTTGTTGTAAAATTTTTTGAAATTTTTCAATGCAGTTTTTTAATAATACGTATTTTCCATGAACTTTTTGAAGGCTCTTCATATATATCATAATCAAGGCTCTTCATAATCAAAAACTATAGCTCAGTGACTTTGGGTCAGTTACAGATTTCTCTGAGGATAACATTTCCCTAGGATGAGTACTGAGAGACAGAGGGAACACACACGAAGCACGCAGCAGACCATCTGGCGTCCAGTCCACTGCTACTATTACTACCACACAGCGACAGATTTCATTCCATCAGAGATAACTGCTGACCCTGGATCCAAGGCCTAATTATTCACACCAAGCAATCTGTGTAGGCAGTGAGGATTGAACTGAGCTATCCTACTATTTTCTTTGGAGTTGAAATTTGTTTTCCAGTCTTTCCTATTTTCTTGTAATTTCATGTTAATAAAAGGAACCAGCACCTTTTATGCTTTTCCCCTTAACTTCCAAACCTACCTGTCTCTGAATGGACATCAAGTTTTGCCACCTTCATGAGCCAAGTCTTGGAACTAGGCTGGAACTAGGCACTGTTTCTGCTTTGGCTGAGCCCTTCTAGGGAACTAACTACTTTCTTTCCAACATTACTGCACTGTGATCATCTTCTTCTCCTCTTTGGGACTATATGTATCTTAGGAGAGGGAAATTAGACAGTGGGCTTTTCATTCCCTAAAAAGACCAACCAATAACATGAACAGAATATAAGAAAAATCCCTATAAATTGATTCAGAAGCACCTAATATAGAATTTGTATAAAATAACAATTTGATTATAAGTATTTCATCAATTTATTTAATATTTATATCCTAGCTATTTTCAAAAGTTATTTGTGTCAACATTAGAGGAAAGAAATATGCTGATATAGGAAACTGCTAAATACTACAGCAATAATTAAAAAATCACAGAAATTGTGAAATTCCATTAGAATGTTTGACATATATATACTCTGAATTGTAAGAATTCTTTACCAAGTAAGATACTGCCTAGGCTTCCAGGGTCTATTTCCTTCTTTAACATAAAAGTCACTCACACACACACACCCCAAAAGATCATACTCTAGCTCAATTTAAGCAATCATATAGCAAAATTAATCAAATGATCTAATAAAGGCACAAAGAGATTTCTAAACCTTATATGAATATTACTAAAAACAATGAAAACATTACAAAAGCACAATACCAAAGCTAGTTCTTGTTGCTATCTCTATTTCCTTAGTTTGTATAGTTTTGGTTAGATTTCTGGTCTATAACAAAACTTCCTAGTGTAAAAGAATGGTCTTTTGGGAATAAATTCGTATCAGTTATTGTCTGCATTCTCCACTGCACTGATTTCATCCACTGTATTGCTGCTAGTCGATTCTGTCTTATAACCACATGGCATAAGCTTTATTTTGTTTGGTGATTCCATGCCCACCTCTTACTCATCATGTCTTACCTCTGCATTTAAGTTATCTGCAAGGCTTTCCAGAAACTGACTCTCAATTGGGTTTTGCTGAGTGAGCAAAGTGAGGTAATGGCTGAGTTTATCGTGTGTTGTTATGATGATTCCTTCCCCAAATTTGTCAAACTGTGGCCGTCCAGCTCTACCAAATATCTGCATGACATCTAAAATTCCAAGGTCAACAAAGGAGCCTCGTTTCGCAGCATATATTTGTGTTCCCTAGATGAGGAAAAGTTAATAAAAATTTACATAGACATACACAAATATAATCCTGATATGCTGAATACTGAAATTAGGCAAATATGGCAAGATCTCAAAAGTGTACTTTAACTAATCCTTTCATCATCTGTGATAGAGTTAAATTTTCACAATATAAACTAGATTCTTATTGGAGAAAATCATTCTGACCTTATATAAACAGTGTTCAAAGTCAAGGAAACAGCCAAATCACAATGTTTTCTAAATAAATCAATTCAGATGTTTGTTTTAAGACACACACAAATCCATCTGCAAAGGAAGATAAGCTCTTACCTTGATAATGACAGCATGGGCAGGAAGATTGACACCCCAGGCTAACGTAGCTGTACAGACCAGGACTTTGATATGCCCATTAGAAAATAAGTTTTCAACCAAATTTCTATCCTGCCGGAGCATTCCTGCATGATGAATACTAAAACCATCTGGGAATAATTCTCGTACTTGCTTATTTCTTGACTTTTGCACCTAGGGTAGAATCAACAAAACATAAAAGAGTGTTATTTAGCATTTAAAAGCGATTGCATTGAGTATTTCTGTCGAATGAATTTATCAAAGAAAGCTTAAAATTATCATAAACATTTTAAAATATCAACTATTACTATATAATGCTTTAAACAATAAAATTATGTCATTTAAAAAAAAACAATATGTGAACAAGACACAAATATGAAAAGAATTAAATGAAAAGAAGTATCTTTTTTAGCCAAGTGGTCCTTACAATTAAGCATTGTTACCTGTTTCTTATCCTTCTAAAAATACTCTATTAAAAGGAGCTTAAATTGGGGCTGCTGTTGTGGCACAGAGCATTAAGTTGTTGCTGGCAACACTGTCATCCCATCTGAGCACAGGTTCGAGTCTCTGCTGCTCACTTTCTATCCAGTTCCCTGCTAATGCACTTGGTAATATAGTGGAAGATGGCCACACGGGGGACCTAGATGGAGCTCCAAGCTCCTGGCTTCACTGTGGCCCAGCCCCAGACATTGCGCCATTTGGGGAGTGCCCAAGTGGAAGATCTGTCTCTACCTCTCTCTGTCACTCTGCCTTTAAATAAATGGGGAAAAAAGAGCATAAATCTTGGTGACTTCTCAACTCCTTCAGAGTAAAAGAGTTCTTACAATGCAAGGCCCTACAAAAATCAATCTGTAACCTCATGAGCCGCAACAACCAGCTTTTTCTCTAAGTCTCTCTTCTGACAAAGCCACACCCTCCTGTGTCATCTACTACCTAGAAAGCTCTCCCCTCTCACAGTGAGCTCCCATGGTTCCCTATTATGCCCCTTGTTTGCAATGAGTCAACAAACTCAACACTCTTTACCTTCATCAGTGTTCCTGTGATCACTGATGGGAAGGCACTGACCATCATCTTAGCTGAACTTTACAACTGCCCTGAGTATATTAACTTGACTTCTGGTACCCGGTCTTTGGCCTCATCTGAGCTCAAATGTGGCATCTGGTTTTCCTGCTATTGCAAAAGATCTTACAAAATTCATGGAAGACTCACTATACAATGGATAAACATTTTCTGCAAAAATTAAAGATCATAAATTAATATTTTAGAAAGTGTCTATAAAATCAAAGCTCCTGCCTGGGCTTCATGTATTGTGCTTATTTGCTACTGCTCTATAATCTCATTATCAGCAATATAAGAGCTCTTTTTGATTTTTTTTTCACATTTTTTACATAAGGGGCACTGTTTTAGCTGAGTCATTTCAAGGGGCTAGAGTTCCAGCCCAGAAAGTGCTACATTATCTTTCAGGCCACTTAAAATTTAAAACTAATAAGTTAATAATAATGAACTAAGAAAATGATTTAAGAAAATAGTACTTGGGGCTGGTGCTGTGGCACAGTGGGTTAAGCCACCTGCAGGGCCAGCATTCCATATGGGCGCAGGTTTGAGTCCTGACTGCTCCACTTCCTACCCAGCTCCCTGCTAATGCACCTGGGAAAGTAGCAGAGGATGGTCCAAGTTCCTAGGACTCTGCACCTATGTGGGAGACCTGCAGGAAGCTTCTGGCCTAGCACACTCCTAGCAGTTGTGGCCATTTGGGGAATGAACCAGTGGATGGAAGATCTCTCTCTCACTGTCTCTCCTCTCTCTCTCTGTAAATATACCTTCAAACAAACAAATCTTTTTTAAATTAAAATCAGCTTATAAAAAAAAAGAAAATAGTACTCCATGAAATTTGCTGTAATCCTAAAACCAAAGGTAATACATTAACAAACCACACCATCTAGTGGCCATTCGTTAAATAACAACTTACACTTTTTTTTTAGTTTTTTAGAAGACAAAAGAAAACGCAAGTCAAGCTCCACATGTTAGTTCCGTATCCATGGATCCAATCAAGAACAGACTGAAAATACTGGAAAAAAATCCACCAGAACTGAACATGTATGGCTTTCCCCCCCTTGTCATTTTTCCCTAAACAAAACAATCTAACACCCATTCACACAGCAAATACACTGTATTGGTTATTATAAGTAACTTGGAGTTGATTTAAACTATTCGGGAGAGTGTACAAAAATTATATGCAAATACAACATAATTTTATATATGGAACCTGGGTGTCCCAAGTTTGGATATTTGAGGAGGGGTCCTGGAACCAATCCTCCCACAGAGACTGAGGCACAACTGTGTATGTGTACTCAACAAAAGAGTGTATTCTTCAAGTTTTCAAGGGGAGAACATTCTTTCTTTATTGTAGCGTGCTGTGGTCAGCCTGTCAGAAATCATTTTATAGTCAGACCCATGACCAACCATAATTGGATCCAAACTGCCTTACCTTTCTTTTTAGATAAGAGATACTGTTATTGTCAATCTTCATAAAGCAGCACTTGTAAATATGGGACAACTCTGGGGTAAAGTCTGTTGTGGAGAACTTGCTAAGCTCTAACTGAGCTCTTTAGAGACCAAGGATAGGGAGAAGAGAAACATTTCAGATGCTCCACTTCTTCTGTGTCATTCAGGAGTGGAGACTTAGATCTAACAGGAGAAACTAAAGAATACTGCTTGGAGAAGACGTTCTAACAAATCAGATAGCTGGACTGCTGTGCGTTTCAGGTGAAGAAACACGTCTAAACGGTCTGTGGGTCCCCTAAACTGGGATATCTTGATGTGTTTGATATAAACGTGGATTCTGGTAGGACGTGACTGGGCTTGCTGTGGCACCAATGAAACAGTGAGAGGGTACACACAGAGAGGATGTAACTGTGGGGAAGAATTTTCAAAGGTAGCAGGTGGGTCTAGAGTGTGGAGAGTATCTCCCACTCTGTCCTGGTGGGTTCCACAATCAGCTACAGTGGCCATCAACAGGGTGCAATCCTCTAGTCTCTGTGACAAACTAAGAGGTCACTTAAATGGGAAACATGTATTTTTTTTTCATTTGTTTAAGAATACAAAGAAAGTTAAGGCAAAATCTGAGCTTTGAATAATTCACAAATTATCCAAAAATATAGATCATTTGTCAGAGTTGGTGAACTCAAACGGCTTCCATAGCCTTGGCAACTCATGACAAGAGCCTAGGGTGATTACTGATGCCATAAACAAGAGTGTCAATTTGTTAAGTCAACAACAGGAGTCACTGTGCACTTACTCCTCATGTAGGATCTCTGTCCTTAATGTGCTGTACATGGTGATTTAATGCTATAACTAGTACTCAAACAGTATTTTTCACTTTGTGTTTCTATGTGGGTGCAAACTGTTGAAATCTTTACTTAATATATGCTAAACTGATCTTCTGTGTATAGAGAGAATTGAAAATGAATCTTGATGTGAATGGAAGGGGGGAGGGAGAGGGAAAGGGGAGGGTTGCGGGTGGGAGGGAAGTTATGGGGGGGGAGCCATTGTAATCCATAAGCTGTACTTTGGAAATTTATATTCATTAAATAAAAGTTAAAAAATAATAGATCATTTGTATATGGAAGACAGACTCATGCAAGTGATTTATAAAAAAAAGTGAGGTGTTTATATTAGAGGCATGTGGATAAACATTACACTCTGTAACTAATGACATGATCTCTTATGACAATGATCTTACAGTTTGCATGTACTAACTTGCACCCAACAGGGTGCCTCCTGTATAGCTTGCACTTACTACACGTTTGCTGAATGAATGAATCAATGGTTTGCTAGTTTTATCAAGTAAGTTTTTACTGAAAATGTGAAATGTGGGTGTTAACACCGTTAAATGGAGAAGGTAGGCAGCAAATAAACACACACAGATGCCAGGATGACTGAAAGAGAAAACGTTGTCTGTAAGGCATTACGCTCAGAGGTTATGGAGTACATACAAGAAAACTAAGCCATAAAGGTCAAGATTTATTTTGTCTCAAGCATAGATGGTAAGGGAGTAATAAAAAATTTTAAGAAGTATCATATTTGTTGTTCAGAGAGAGGGAACTTCACAATTGTGCCAAAACCATGACTGGGTGAAAAGATGGAGATGGGGAGACAGAGATCACACAAAGCCAAGGTGAAAGTGGGCTGTCAAGAAACCAACACTGGGTAGGTGCCTACACAGGAGGATGAGCAGAATATGAAGGAAAAGGAGCTGCAGTTGTTTCAGGCTAATCCCTGCCTGGGTGCACTGAATATATTACAGAGAAAAGAGAATGAAGAGAGTTATTGCTTGTGCCTTAGGCTAGGCAATAAGAAGGTGGAGAACAGATGCAGTTTTTGTCAGGACTTTGAAATGATCAATTATAAAGAATTTGGCTGTTATTCTGAATAAATGGGGAGCCACTGAAGGTTTCTAAGCAGGATGGAGAAAGGGGAGACCTGTTAGATCCCACTATTAGAACATTCAGGGTGAGATGGAATGGTGGACTGCATGAGATGAAAAACAACCGAATAAAATAAATCTGTGCTTTCATAAACAACACGAGTGAAACACTCATCTAAATAAGACTGTAAGAGTGATTGAAGCATCTAACTCAAGAAGTTACAAAAGTCTGAAGGAAAGAACTGGAATGACCTACCAGCATCATAATAAAACCTGCTGATTTGAAAACTGTGAAACTGTTAAATATGAACACTTTTATTTTAAAGGAAGAAATTAAACAACAATAGACAATGTTATCGTTGGCTAGATTATGAGATGGTAAAAGATGCTACAACAAACTGTTTTATACTATCTGTTATACAAGGCCATATAGATTTGTGACATATTATCTGTAGCTTAATTGAGTTATGACAGGATAGCTGGATGAACAGCTGTGACAGAGATCACAGGTCCACAAGCTTAGAATATATTATCTGGGGGCTGGTGTTGTAGCATATGCGTAAAGCCACTACCTGAGATGCTGGTGTCCCATATAGATGCCAGCTGAGTCTTGGCTACTCTACTGCTGATCCAGCTCCCTGCTAATGGCCTGGGAAAGGTGTGGAAGATGGTTCAAGGGATTGGAGCCCTGAATTCAAGTGGGAGACCTGGATGAAGTTCCTGGCTCCTGGCTTCAGCCTGTCCTCGC